AATAAATGGTGATGAAATAAAAATTTTAGGGTGTTCTATCCCTTTCATGACTAGGTGTGTCGGAAGTTAATTCACATCTAGGTTGAAGGTCACGTTCACTGCGGAATGTTCCTCTTAAAAGCTGCAGGGTTTCTTATTATATGTGCATACGCTGACATGGATGTGACCTGTAAAAAAAGAAGAAGATATAAATCATCTTCACAGCACTTGATCCATCCTCGAGATCAGGGGCTCCCCTTACATTGTTTTTTGTGAACATTAATCTCAAAAACGGGCAGTTTGGATTGAACGTTTATTGTCACAGGATGATACTGTGTGCCTGGTCAGCACTTCTGAAGCCTTCAGTTTGAAAATCTATTTGGATTTCTGAAGTTCTTAAGGAATGTTCTGGGTTCAACACAAGTTCAGCTGTGTTGAAAGCATTTTGGTATGTTGAAAATGGTAGTTCATTTTTTAGCAAAAACACAAAGGATTATAGTAATAACTGTATTTAGAGTAATGTGGCTACTGTTTGCAAAAATATTGTTTCTGCTGTCAACCTGAAAAAAAAAAGGATGGCACGGTGACTCAGTGGTTAGCTCTGTCACATTACAGCAAGAAGGTCATTGGTTTGATTCTCAGCTAGGCCAGTTGGTATTTCTGTGTGGAGTTTGCTTGTTCTCCCAGTGCTGGCGTGGGTTTCCTCTGGGTGCTCCGGTTTCCCCCACAGTCCAAAGACATGCGCTATTGGTGAATTGGGTAAACAAAATTGACTGTAGTGTATAAATGTGTGTGAATTTTAGTATGTGAGTTTCCCAGTACTGGGTTGTGGCTGGAAGGGCATCCGCTGTGAAAAATATATGGTGGAATAGATGGTGGTTCATTCCATTGTGGCGACTTCAAAAAAATAAGGTACTAAGCTGACCTGTGGCTGTTTATAAAAATCCTTTACAGCCAATCACCGCTGGTTTAATTACCCGCTGAGCCAGTTGGCATTTCTGTGTGGAGTTTGGATGTTCTCCCAGTTTTGGCGTGGGTTCCCCAGTGTGTGTGTGTGTGTGTGTGAATGTTAGAGTGTATGGGTGTTTCCCAGTACTGGGCTGTGGCTGGAAGAGCATCCGCTGTCTAAAGCATATGCTGGAATAGTTGGTGGTTCATTCCACTGTGGCGACCCTTGATATAAAGGACTAAGCTGAAGGAAAATGAATGAATGAACGTAGACAATTCTTGCTGCTTTTAATTTTTAGCTAAATCAACTTAACTTTTCCTGTCATCTGAACTTACGTCAATCAAGCTGACTAAAAGTATGAAGTTAAACTTTGTATAACTTAAAGAAAAAATGTTGAAACCTGCTTAACTTGTTAAAGTAAGTTAAAGCAGCATAGAAATATTTGTCGTCTTGACTTTTTGTCACAATGTTTTTTGCCTTCACTTAAAGTGAGTAAATGCAATGCCTTAAAACCGACAAGTTGACTACTTAAAAAAGTGAGTTTTAGTTAGCTGTTGCAACAAACAAACAGAATTCTTGAAAGACAATTGTTTCAGCTCTAGAAAATCTTAAAGATAATGTCTACATTTAGATGAAATTAAGATGAGATTGCACTTATTTAGCTTTTTTAATTATTATTATTTATCAGTTTTTGGACTTAAGGATTGCTGACGTACCTAATCATTATGGTTTAGTTATTTTTTTTTCCATTTTACTTTATTTGTGTTCTTTTAATGTTGTGAAATGTGTTCCCCACAGTATTGAAAATGATATTGAATATCGATATTTTTCAAGGTATTATATCAAAGTTGGAAACTCCAGTATCGTGGAATAGGCGACAGCGCTACCTACTGTGCCACTGCGTCACAGATTAGGATTAGTTTTTGAACTTAAAGGGTTTATTGCAGTCGGTTTCCTCAAAAGGTTTGAGTTACCTTAACTTTTTGGGGTTTAGAGTGTATATGTTGATATCGTAAAATATAGTATCACACTTAAAACAATGTATACTTATATAAAAAGAAGGTTTTGAGGTTAATTTTCTTGTTTTTTTTTGGGACAACTTAATTGTTTTAGGTTCAATCTACGTAAATTCATTAAACTAAGCTAACTTAATTCCTTCACCACAAATCAGTTGTGTGGAACCCAGCATTTTTTTCAGTGCACTCAGTGTCCCAACACAATTTAAGTTAACTTTGTTGTTTTAACAAATTTAAGTTGATTGAACATAAAACAGTGAAGTTATCCCCCAAAAAACTAAAGAAGTGTGTTGATTCAGCTCATTATAAACAAGTCGTTTAAACAAGCAGCAAACATTTCTTGTATTGTATTGTTAATATAAGTACAGCTGATGTGTGGATCATTTAGTCTTGGCTTCTGAAACAAATTCCTCGTGTGGTTTGTAAGTAGGTTACTCTTCTGAAATGTGTATGCTTCACACTGTTAACATGCAAGTGTTTTCGTCTTCACTCCCTCTTACCCTCCTACACGCTTCGTTGTGTCATCTCTCATCACTGGCTTTCACTTTCAAGAAGAAAAAGCATCAATCAAGATGACAAATCATCTTTCTATTCCGCTTTAGGTAAAAGATAAAAACGCATACTTAAGAACACAAATTAATTCAGTTCATAGAGGATTTCCATCTCCAGCTTGTGTGCTGCTCATTAAGTGCGTGAGTCAGAAAGACTGATACTGCAGTGTGAATCAATACTCACATCACAAGTGCTTGTTAACCCTTTAGTGTAATAGCTGATGGGTTCAGAACAGTTAAATCAGTCGTCTGCATTTGCGTTCACACACTATTGATAGACCGTTCATGCAATCACAAGGATTAATGTTTAGCGGAACACTACAGAATGCATATAAATGATACGTTCTGTAAGTTTTGTGAATTTGTACAGTATTGTTTTATTCAGAAAATAAGTGTAATGAAGTTCACGGCCCTTTGGCTGCCGGGAAGAAGGAGGCGGAGAACCGACGTAGTTTTAAAATATTTATTTTTAATATGAATGGCGGCTCCTCACGGAGACTGCCGTCTAAACCAAAACAAACGGATGGCAGCTCCTTACGGAGACTGCCGTCAAACTGAAAGCAAAAGTTAAAACAATATGCCCGGGCCCGGTCCTCTCCCGGCTTCCTCTGCCATCGTTCCTCCTTTTATAGTCCAGAGCTCCTTCCGTGGGATTCAAGGCAGGTGCGCACCGCAGGTGTATCCACTTACGCGGTGGCCTCACTCCGTTCCCACGGCTCTAGGCCAGAACCCCCCCGCCACAATAAGCTATAGCTTTTTAAAAAAAAAAAATTATTGCTTTTTGGACTTAAGGACTGCTGACTTACCTTTTATGAGCATTTCAGTATTTTTTTCTCTTTTTACTTCATTTGCGTACTTTTAATGTTGCGGGATGTGTTTCCCACAGTATCGAAAATGATATCGAATATCAATATTTTTCAAGGTATCGTATGGAAGTTGGAAATTTCTGTATCGTGACAACACTAGAAGAAGCATATAAAATGTGAAAAGCAATGGACTGAATACTCAGCCCTGTGATACTCTGGAATTAACGTTTGACTGATATGGTAACACTTTATTAAGATGAAAATAAGATGAGATAGCACTAATTAAGCTTTTTATTATTATTTATTGCTTTTTGGACTTATGGTCTGCTGACATACCTAATAAAAGCATTATTGTTTTGTTATTTATTTCCTTTTTTACTTAATTTGCGAACTTTTATTGTTGTGAAATATGTTTCCCACAGTATCGAAAATGATATCGAATATCGATATTTTTCAAGGTATCATATTGAAGTTGGAAATTCCAGTATCGTGACAACAGTATACAAAATGTGAAAAGCAATGGTCTGAAGACTAAGCCCAGTGGTACTCTTAAATTAAGTTTTGACTGATATGATAGCTCTTCATTCAGATAAAAATAAGATGAGATTGCACTAATTTAGCTTTTTTTATTTATTTATTGGTTTTTGGCCTTAAGGACTGCTGAAGTACCTGATATAAGCATTATGGTTTAGTGATTTTTGTCCCTGTTTTACTTTATTTACGTACTTTTAATGTTGCGCAATATGTTCCTGACAGTATCGAAAATGATATTGAATATCGATATTTTTCAAGGTATCGTATCGAAGCTGGAAATTCTAGTATCTTGACAACACTTTACAAAATGTGAAAAGCAATGGTCTGAAGACTCAGCCCTATGGTACTCTGGAATTAACTTTTGACTGATATGATACCTCTAGATTTACTTCTTCAAACTAGCATTCAGATAGATATGATTTTGCTAGTGCCATGCTGCTAATTTTCAAGCATATTTAGGAGAATGTCTTACTAGTATTATAAAATGAAGGTGCAGTAATACTATCGGACGGTAAGAGCAGGTCGTTTGTAAATCTGATGAGTGCGGTTTAAGTGCTATGAAATAGCCTAAATACTGACATGAATTCCCAGGTACAATTTCTTTTCAAGAATGAACGTAATTGAATAGACACCACTTTCCGTAGGTTTTTTTTTTCCATAGAAAATACAGATTTGAAATTGGTCTGTAATGTACCAATTCACTAATCCAGCTGTTTTTTAATTAGATGCTTATTATTTTGAGGTTTTCAGCAAATGTCAATAGTAATGATGAATTAATAATAGGATTTACTACTTCTGAGAACTTTTAATAGCATGGTAGGTAAATGAATTACCATACTTTTATACATTTCTTCCTCTCCAATAGTTTAGAGAGACTGAAGTTTTTCTTTGGAGATCTACCGTGCACTAGTTAGCATGGCACTATATCTGATGCTTGCACTGTGCTAATTTGGCTCTGATTTGATCAGTCTTCTAAGTAAGATGGTCTGTTTGGTCACTAGGTGGCTAAAAACGTTTATCTATATATAGTATACATACAGAATATAGCAACATTCATTCTGAAATACTGTATCCTACAAGGTAGTGTGCTCAACATCTCTTTCCTGTTGTGATAGTGTTTTGCTGTGGCCTGTTCGTAGTAAATTGTGCTCATTGCCCCCTGCAGGAGAAAGAGAAGAAGTACATGCTGCCATTGGACAACCTGAAACTCAGAGATATCGAGAAGAGTTTCATGTCCAGCAAGCACGTGTTTGCTCTCTTCAACACTGAACAAAGGTTAGAGAGTAACACCAACTACACAGCTCTCTCTTTCTCAAAAATCAACCAATCAAACAAACAAACATGATAGTAAATAAATGATGTACACTAAAACTCAATATTTAGGGTCACTAAGATTCCCTTATGCTCATAAACTGTGATAATTTTTAAATAATATTACAAGTCAAGATAAATACTTTGTTTTATTGAATTTTAGACATTGGAGAAGCTTTAAAAGAAGTTTATCAAATAACTTACAGTAATACAGTAGTATATAGTAAGATCTGAAATTACCTTAACGTTTCATTATTATTTAATTGTTTGAATGTTTCAATGCTTATCCATGTTATTGGGATGTTGTTTCAGGAACGTATATAAAGACTACAGGCAGTTGGAGTTGGCTAGCGACACTCAGGAGGAGGTGGACAGTTGGAAAGCATCCTTCTTACGAGCTGGAGTTTACCCAGAGCGCATCACTGTACGTCAATGCCATCAATGATCAGCTGACAGTACTTACCGTACACGTTACTGAGCTGTGATGACTGCTGCATGCATATAAGCAGTGTTGGGGAAAGTTACTTTTAAACGTTTTACATAACAATCTAGCATTACTCTGTTTAAAAACGAACTAAATGTGCTACTTTTTTATTGAAAGTAATGTGTAACGTTAGTTTAGCGTACTGATAGATTAAAAAAAGTAACTGGCATTACATTTCTAAAAAGAAAATAAGGTAATGTTTTCTTAGAATGGAAAAAGTAATGTTACTTTCGTAGTTACTTTAAAAAGTAATCTGATTACATTACTCATATTACTTGTAACGCATTACCCCCAACATTGCATATAACCAATAACAAATGCAAGTCTAACTAACTACATTGGTTTGCTCATTTGCATAACTCGCTTACTAATTTGATTAACTTATTCTGCTTTTTTGCTGCATCTGCAGGACAAAGAGAAGGTAAGTTGAATACGTTTTCTGTCGAATTCAAACATATTGTTTCTTTTTATATCAGTACATGTTGGTGTGTTTTGAAATTATCGTATGAGAAAGGAGATCAATGACTGGGACTAATTTTCTAAATATTAGTGGTTGTAATTGGATTACTCGTGATAGGGTTCAATTAGCTTTGCTTTGTTAAATTTCCTACATTTTTGTGAATTGTAAAATACTTTGCTCAGGGTACTTTTCGTTGCACGTTTCAGATAACAAATCCACTAGAGGGTGCTGTCTACATTTTTGCGAATTTGAAATATGTTATAGTACGTTTTGTTGTATGTCTCATACACACACAAACAGATCGCCTAGCAAACCACTGACCCAAACTCTACCCTAAACTAAAACAACAGTGTTTTAAAAAGCAAACGGAAGAGAAAAGTGTACTGCAATCACATGGTTTTACCTTGATTTTACATTGCTTTCTTTTGTGGAACCGTGCTTCATCAAACTCAAACCAGAGAACTCTAAATCACAAATATAAAAGTGAGCTCATGAGCAAACTGACCATGTTAGAAAAGTTGTCCATATACGTAGAGATCAATGTATTCTTACTGCAATTCGTAACTTTTCCATTTAGCAGCTAATGTGTATGAGTTTGTATGATAACATACATGTTTGTCTGATTTGCTCATCCGGCAATGACGGTTTGATCTTCCTTTAAAAATTGTATGTTTTCAAATTGTGTGAATTTGTTTGAATTAGTCACTTTTCTGACAATACGTAAAATAGTTACGTTTCCTTGTGAGATTTGGCCAGAAAAATAGGTGTATTTTTTATGTATTATTAAGGTGATGTTTATTTGTAGTTGCAAAAAGAACCACACAAAATTAATCCTTCATTCATCAATAATGCAACACAGGCTTATTGTAAAAACGTACCCCCGTATACATTTCTGGAGAGCGCAAGTTATGTAGCCAGTGCTACGTATGGCTGTATTTCATCTTTAAAACGAACTCTACAGGGCGGTATGATGCAGCCACCAGCGTCTATTTCTTTTCGCACTACCAGCTGACCGCTTACCTTCATGTGGATGGCTTTTCCAATGTTACCAGTTTGTCCAGTGGCTTGCTACATACGTCAGTGGACTTGAGATGCAGAGGGGAGTTGACCATGATGACAGGGTTTGAGTCTGGCAAAGAATGGTTTCAGAAAGCAGATAAAACAAAAACAAAAGGCATAAAATTAAGATAAATAATTAAATATCAGGGTGAGAATGTGGAAATATTTAAAAGTGTGGTAAACATCAGGCTTTCCTTTTTCCGGATTGCTTTTAAAAACACTGTCGGTTGGGTTTAGGGAAGGTGGGGGGATTGGTCAGTCAGTCAGTCAATCGGTCAGTCAGGCAATCGACAGCGGCCTCTGGTAAATTTACGTGAGAACAGCAGCACCAATGGCACTCGCGAGAGAATTTTGAGATTAGAAAAAGTGTACACAATGGCCTCTGATGGATTTGCGAAAACAAAAACCGCAAAAGACATACCTCCTGGGATGTATTTCACGATGTACAGAAATCTATGCAGGGGTACATATCAATAATGAGCCTGGGTTGCAACAATGGGTTTCTGAAATGTCATTAATGTGAAAAGGAACTAAATTTGTTAGCATCATACTGCCCTATAGCATTCATTTAGCCTAGTCAAACATATGTTGAAGTATGTTTTTTTGTGGTTTCACACAAAAGTAGGCATTTCCAATGAGCCTTTAGAAAAATTTTGTGTATATGAATACTAATTATCAGTAGCTCAATTTAAATATTCCCAAACTGAAAAAAAACTGTCAAGTTTAAACGTTGGCTTGTGAAAATTTTGTAGTAGTATTTTTAAAACTTGGACTTTTGCACATTTTTACTTGTAGCAAATCATCTTTTTACATTGTGTTGGCTATTGATAACATTGATTTTAGCTACTACTGGTTCTAGAGTTACAATTTTTAAATCCGATTGAGAAAATCACAACAATATTCAAACAATTTTCCTGTCAATCAAAGTGCCCCAAATTATGAACGGATTATTTCGGTTCATATACACACAGCCATTGTGTCTTTAATTTTATTAATGCATGTAATACATCAATATCAATATGTACCCTCAGCAGAGTGACACCAGTGACGAGAGCAGCTCGGATGGCTTCATGCACTCCATGGATCCTCAGCTTGAGAGGCAGGTGGAGACCATCAGAAACCTTGTGGATTCCTACATGGCCATTGTCAACAAGACTGTGCGGGACCTCATGCCCAAGACCATCATGCACCTCATGATCAACAATGTAAGAAGTGTTGACCTTAAAATTTTTATAAATTCCAATTGCTAAACATTCATTGCAGAATTTGACACCAGTCCCCAAGGATCCTTGTAAGACTGTTGGAACATGATTCCCATGTCTGTAAGATCTCAGCTCTTATAATGTCAGACTGTATGATATGCAGCGCACATTGAAGAAGATGCCCAGAGGCGGTATGAACATGGAGCTGCTTATTGCACTGGTGAACAATAACCATTTCTTCATCGCTAGAGCTGGAGCTGCTCCTTGAACCATCCATGCTTGTTCGAATCGCCAGTAACTTTAACAACAAACATGTCAGCTTTCTTCTTCTGTCTTCTTCTGTGTTACAAGCTTAAAATTGTGTAGCGCTAGGGCTGGGCAATTTTTCAGATTAATTCGAATTTATGTTTTGATTTATATTTTGAATCAAATCGAGAAATCGCGATTTTTAAAAAATATATATATTTAATAGATTATAATGGCACCAATGCGCTTTGGTTCACTCTCTGTATGAAGCAGGAAGTTTCACACCAGAAGCACCTCTCGGCGACGCGACGCGCAGCACCATGCCATGGATTTTAGAATTCTAAACAGGTTTCTATACACACACCGACGCCGCCCAGCCACGATTCACGAAGCAGTTCTTATTTCAGCCGGCCCACAGAGCGCCATCTGATTAGTTTCATGTTAAGTAGGTATCATGCAAATGTGCGCGTTTGGTGATAGTTTAAACTGTCATGTCCGCGCCGTTTCGTGGCGCTTCTGGTGTGCGACCTGCTTGACTGCCTGTTAAAGCGTGAAGTCATGTAGGATTTTACTTGTTGCACGTCTGTGTGGATTGTCAAGACATTCCCTCATCAAGTCGATAAACTCGGTCTCAACATGTATGAAGGACATAAAAACCTGCCGCGTGAAAAACCACGCCGATCTTTTGGTTTGAACATGAGTAGAAGTGAGGGACCCACTGTAGCAGTGAAAATGAAAGTATCCGCCCCCATGACGTCATTTAGCGGACCTAGTTGAAAACCAGACAGATCAGGCAGCATAATACAGAGAGTGGAGCAAAGCGCATCAAATGATCGGTATTTAAAAGGTGGAAAAAGAATAATAGATTAAATATATAATTTTATATTAGACACACATCTAGTGCTTGTATTTGCTCCTGCTATACATCCACAACTTCACACATTGGGTTAAATTAGGCTTTACAGTTTCCATGTTCAGTCCTTTTTCTTCCACTGTATCTTTTTAAGAAAAAGGCAGCAGCTTTACAACCTGTCATTTAATCAGAAGACAAAGTCAAAGCCGAGCTGAAAGCCAATCTTTCATAGGCTTAGCAAAACTTGCAAAAAAATACCTCTTTATTCCTGCAAGTGCATTATTTACACAAATATTTCTTATTCAAATCTTCTGCAACGCTATTTAACTCGTGAATTTGTTTTACGTTTATTTACACCTTGACCGATTTTTGCATGGCATGGCCATTAAAAATACAAAGTTCCTTAACCAGATGGTTTTTCAAGTTACTTTTAAAGAGAATGTTACTTCAGTCATGTTGTTGTAATGTTTTGAGAAGACTAGTAACACAATAAAAAAAAATCGAAATCTTGAATGGTCAAATTTTATAAAAAACCTAGATTTTTTTTTTGCTAAATTGCCCAGCCCTATGTAGCGCCATCTAACGTCAAGTAGTGATTTTGCATACTCTTCTGCTCGACGCCTGTGAAAATCGTTTGGGTTTGAACATGGAAAAACATTTCGAAAAACGCTGACGATAAACGCAAATGAAAAGCGTCCCGGTGTGTACGAGCCTTCAGATTCAGCAATCCTGTGGCTTCTTGATTTGATGGTGTTCTCAGTTGAAATCAAGTCTTAAAGGCACAGTATATATTTTCGCCACTATAGGGCTCTATATTCAGAACAAACAAAGACTTCTATTCAACGCCTCAAGTATTCAACACTTATATATAACTTACGGTCGTCACATGGTGAAGAAGCAGCACTGTTTTATCCTTCTAAATACATTTTAGGGTTCTGTCATAATCCTTCTCTGTTCAGTGTAATAAAACCCAACATATTAAAGCGGCGTTTCCCTGTTTTCTAAAAAAACCAAACTGAAAGTTCAACGGTGTGCGATGTCATTAGCATGAACACTTCAGTCAGTCTGCTTAACTAGTCATAATTGCTTATTTCTCTAAATTTGAACATTCTTTTAAACATTTAGGATAATGTAAGTACATAAGTCAGCAAAATATTTAACACTTTCTAGTGATTTTTGGGTATTTTAATGAAAAAGTCACTGATCAAAACCTAGGATTATAGGAATAATTTTTTTAAATATATCTCAGATGATTAATTGTGGCCAAAATAACACATTGGGCTCTATTTTAATGATCTAGACAAAAAGTCTAAAGCGCATTAAGCATTAAAGGCACATCTGAATCCACTTTTGGTATTTTATAGACGGAAAAACACGCTCTGCGCCCTGGCGCATGGTCTAACAGGGTTGAGCTTATCCTCTTAATGAGTTATGGGTGTGTTTTGAGCATAACGTGCATTAAACCAATCATCTCCCATTCCCTATAAAAGTCAGTTGCGTTGCTCCGTGGCTCATTTGCTACATGGCGACTTTGTAAGTGGAAAAACTGAACACTCACTAGTGAGAAAACAGTTAAACAAACCATCTGCAGTGAGAATAAATGGCCTCCTCCATTTGGCCTCTTTACTTTCTCTTACTTCTTTACTTTTGTGGATAAGGAAACAGTGTTGTACGCACTAATCTGAAGACATCCATTAGCCTACATATTTAATTTAGTTTGTTAAGAGCAAAGATTTGTTTTAAAACTATTTCTAAATTCAGTTCTAATCTGCGCGGGACTAAATTTTAGCCCGAACCAGACCGCTTCCGCTTATATTAACAATTTGTTGTCCCGCTGCCCGACCCGCCCCGTTTTCTGGTCGCCGCGCCCGATCCCGCTAAAGAGCGGGGGAGAACAAAACCGAAAATCACCCAGCTATACAGTCCAGACAGCCAAGCTGTGCACACACACACAGACAAAGCTCTCTCTCTCTCTCATACGCGCGCGCGCACTAACACACACACAAGCACCAAGCAGACACAAAGGCGTTTGCTGTTATATCAACTCAAAGGCTTGTAATACCATGTATCAAGTACCAATGTAATACCAAAAGGTTTTATATAAAGGTATGTAAATACTGAGTCGCGCCAGCTTTGCGCCGCAGCGCACATTACTCTCGGGCCGATTCCGGCGTGGATGCGGCAGCGTCGGCTCGCTTACGGTCGCCGCACCTGATTCGGGCCGGAATCGGGCCGTGAGTCCACGAGTCCGGCAGCCAGAGCCGGGCCGAGTGGTAAGTCTCCGGCAGGCGAGAATCTAGCCGGAACTGGCCCGAGTGTATTTTGCTATCTGGGAAAGCTCTCTCTCTCTCTCTCTCTCATTCGCGCGCGCACTAACATACACACACACAAGCACCAAGCACACACACAGGCAAAGCTCTCTCGCTCTCTCTCATTCGCATAGCAATATCCGCGATATTGCTAGACAGCCCGCTCCCGTCCCAAATTAAACCCGTTACCGACCGCTCCCGCGATTTATTCGGAAATTTATTCCCGCGCCGCAGAAATCTGGTCGGGTCCTGCGGCGCCCGCGGGACAGCCGTGGGAATGCAGACCTCTAGTTCTAATTTCTAGCAAATTAATAAATAAACAATAAAAGCGACGTGTGGTCAAAAAAAAAACTCATGAAAAAAACACGTCCTATTTTTATGCCCAATATGGTGATGCAGACGTCTCCAAAACCCAACAGGAGGACAAATCACCCATGAGTCCAGTAAGTGGCGCAAATGGATTTGCTATTTAAACAACGTGGACCAAAACGTGAATATTAGGGTTGCCTTGGTCTGAATATAGCAGCAAATCGCATCAAACATGCCTTATTGCGCTGGGTGTACGATAGGGCCCTTTGGCTTCCTTGCATAAAGCAGTCAAATTAAAAATATGTACGTTTTTCCTGTAGGATCTAAATAGATGGTTCTCAACCCTACAGTAAAGCACTTTTTTATTTCTCTTTCTTCTCTTATAGACTAAGGACTTCATCCATGCTGAGCTGCTAGCTAACCTGTACTCATGTGGAGACCAGAACACTCTGATGGAGGAGTCTGCAGAGCAGGCTCAGCACAGGGAGGAGATGCTGCGCATGTACCACGCTCTAAAAGAGGCCCTGAACATCATCGGGGACATCAGCACCAGCACCGTCTCCACTGCCATGCCTCCACCGGTCGATGACTCCTGGCTGCAGGTACAAGGAGGACCTTCAGGGCGCAGGTACTTTTTTTTAACATCTTTGTTTTTTATGTCGATTATATGTACTCACTAATATATTTAAGTTGTACAGGCTTGTATTTTACCATGCAAAGGCAAAAGACAGTGGAGCTCTATCATACACCCAGGGCAATGCGGTGACAGGCATGACACGAGTGTTTTTTGCTAGTTTCAGCCTGGGCAAGTATGCATTTGCACCCATTTGTGCTGGTATAAAAAACAAGGTGTGTTAAAGTGCATTGTTGGTGCCTTGCTGTTGTGAGGCAACTGAAATAAAACACACTAATGTCCAACTAAATGCTGGTCTAAAGTCAATTTGTTTTTAAGAGCAAATTAGTGATATGCATCCATGTAAATCCAAAAAGCTTATATATATATACACACATACATATAAAAAAAAATATATATATATTTATATATGAATATATATATAAATGTTGCTTTTTACACACACGGATGCCCAGCAGCACAAAATATCTTTAAATATGAAATAATAAAGCATTAAAAATGTTTTTTAATTGATTATTAAATGATTATTGTCAATATATAAAGTCATGGGAATGCCATGCTATAGTTCAGTTTTTTTAACTCCACTTTGTTTTTTTTGTTCATTTATTAGTTTTTCTGGAAATGAAAACTAAATTTAGAAATAGTTCATAGGGCCTAACAAATGACATTATGAGACGAATTATGGAATGGATGTATCTTGAGTGGATGGATGCATAGATACTGTATGTAAATTTGGTGGATGGTTTAGCTTAATAGATAAATGGATGGATGTATAGATAATTTTAATAGACGGATGGATGGATAGTTTGAATTTATGGATGGATGGATATATAAATGGGTAAATGATTTGGCTCCAAATATGAATGGATGAATGGATTAATAGTTTGGATATTTTGAATTAATGGATATATATGTAAATGGGTGGATGGTATGGGTCAAAAGATAAAAGAATGGATGGGTGGATGGATGGATGGCTGGATGGTTTGGTTTAATAGATAAATGGATGGATGGATAATTTTAATAGATGGATGGATGGATGGTTTGAATTTAGGGATGGATGGATGGATGGAAGCATGGATAGTTTGGATGGATAGTTTTGATTGACAGATGGATGGTGGATAGATGGATTGATGGACAGTATGGATGGATAGTTTGAATTTATGGATGGATGGATATGTAAATGGGTGGATGATTTGGCTCGAAATATGAATGGATGAGTGGAATAATAGTTTGGATAGTTTGAATTAATGGATAGATATGTAAATGGGTGGATGGTATGGGTCAAAAGATTAATGAATGAATGGGTGGATGGATGGATGGATGGATGGATGGATGGATGGATGGATGGATGGATGGATGGATGGATGGATATGTAAATGGCTGGATGGTTTGGTTCTATAGATAAATGGATGGATGGATGGATAATTTTAATAGACGGATGGATGGATAATTTGAATTTAGGGATGAATGCCCCAGCAATGAAGCACATAAACACATAGACATAGACATAACATTGCAACAGGGGATGTGGATATATTCTGATGAAGGCGGCAGCCATCTGGTTCTGCAGCCAGGTGGCGCTGGTCACAGACCCACCTTCCCACTGTAGTGTATGAAAGAAATTACACAATGGATGGATGGATGGATGGATAGATAGATAGATAGACAGACAGAAAGACAGACAGACAGACAGACAGACAGACAGACAGACAGAAAGACAGACAGACAGACAGACAGTTTGTCAACATAACAATCATTTTGTTTTGTCATCAGATCTCCAATGTCTAGCCCCACTCCTCAACGCCGGGCCCCACCGGGACCCCCTCGTCCAGGTGGACGCACTGCTCCAGGACCCCCTACTATTGGTGCTCCTCCTGTGCCATCCAGACCCGGAGCCTCTCCAGACCCCTTCGGTGCCCCTCCACCACAGGTCCCCTCTCGTCCCAACCGTGCACCACCCGGTGTCCCCAGGTGAGTCAGACATGATGTTTATCAATACAGTTATAATAATACTATCTATCATTAATGTTATAACGTGTAATTGGTTCAAATAATGCATTTATGGGGAGTAATGGAAATGTCAATATTGTTGAGAGTAATGATCTACAAACTACCCTCCATTTACACCCTTTACAGCCCTTCCGCCCTGACCTGATCCCTGGTCTTTATCACAAGAAAGACAGATCAGTAACACTCTTCCTTCTATTTCTACTTCTCTCTCCTGTCACACTCCATTACTTTTGCTCAGCTCACACACTCCTACACAGTCCAACTCAGAGACCTGCACTAACACACCACTCACGCATTTCACTGACTCTCCTCCATGTGCATGTTCACTCCAGTGTTGCGTTAACTCATTCTGTTCATTGTATAATTGTTTGTATCTAAAGAAGCATCAACTTTGTGAGATCATTCTCTCATGATATACATGTTTGGGAGGAATTAAAAGGGAAAAAAACGTTAAGAGTGATTCATTTGTCGTTTCATCCGGCTGCCTCTTTTTTCTGTCGATGTGTTCTCCTCAAACTAAATCCCTTCTACAATGATTCCCCGTTATCCTTTCAGAATTTCTATCAGTGACCAATGAGGAGTTACGCAAATGGTATGTCTGACATATTGTCCTTATGTGAAATCACCACCTGCATGCATTCATCTTTAAATGTGTTACCATCTGCTGTCCCGATACCCGTCATTCTCTAGATATGTCTATTATTGTACACCATACTGTTTATTAGTGTCTGTTCATTTGTTTAGAGGATTTTATGTTTCTTATTTTCTTATCAATCAATAAAGTGTAAAGCTGCCATTTAATTTTAGAGGTGAACAGATTCCACCTGGTTTAACAAATCAGGCTAATTTTGTTTGTTTTTTGCAATTTTAATAAGCATTTTGGATTGACTGAAGTTAGCATGATTTAAAATTTACTTTAAGAATTTGATTTGCAATTATAATCCACTTATTGTATCGTTTTGTAACGACAAATTTAACTTAAACTTAACTCTGGTTATAATGCACAGGGATTGCCAATGTAAACCAGCCTATACTTAACTTAACTCAACTTAACTTAACTCAACTTAACTTAACTTAACTTATCACTGGTCATAATGCACAGGGATTGCCAATGTAAACTAACCTACACTTAACTAAATACTGGTCATAATGCACAGGGATTACCAATTTTAACCAGCCTGTACTTAACTTAACTTAAATACTTAACACTGGTCATAATGCAGAGGGACTGCCAATGTAAACCAGCCCATACTTAACTTAACTTGACTTGACTTGACCTGACTTAATTTAACTTAACACTGGTCATAATGCACAGGGATTGCCAATGTTAACCAGCCTGTACTTAACTTAACTTAACTTGACTTGACTTGACTTGACTTAACACTGTTCATAATGCAAAGGCATTGCCAATGTAAACCAGTCTATACTTAACTTAATTTAACTTAACTTAACTCTGGTTATAATGCACAGGGATGGCCAATGTAAACTAGCTTGTACGTAACTTAACTCTGGTCATGCACAAAGATTGCCAATGTAATCTAGTCTTAGCTTAACTTAACTTAACTTAACTTAACTTAACTTAACTTAACTTTGGTCATTATGCACAAAGATTGCCAATGCAATCTAGTCTTAGCTTAGCTTAACTTAACTTAACTTTTAACTTAACTTAACTTAACTTAACTTAACTTTGGTTATATTGCACAGGGATTGCCAATGTAAACCAGCCTATACTTAACGCTGGTCATAATGCACATAGATTGCCAATGTAAACCAAACTTTTTTGTGACAAATCTCAACTTTGTTTAATTATTTTGATATTTAGCATGCTTTTTGGTGTGACATGCTCTTAATTCCCTTTTATAATTTGTACAGAAATGATTCATGACACATAATATGCACCAAATATCAGGCTCTGATATAATATATCTGCTTGTGATCCTTAGGGCCAGATTTTCTAGCAGCTTGTGCCAGCCAGTCTTTTTGGCATCAAAACAGTACTGTTGGAATTCACTAAACACATGCAGAGAAGAATAGCGCTGAAAAGGCATGGAAACAGCTATTTGTGTGCCTGACATTACTGAGGATGCATATGTAGGATTTTCCTAGTTGGATGCAAATTTTATGGGAGGGAAGTATTTAAATGAATCATGCCACTGTATTTACTAATGAGGCTCTTTTGGAATTTTGAAGGTGACCAGGGGCCTCATGTACTAAGACTTGCGTGGAAATCTTACTAAAACATTGCGTACGCACAAAGCTGTAAATGTGCGTACGCATAAAAAAATTCAGATGTATGAAACACTGCGTACGCCGAATCTCACGCATATTCTTTTGTACATCTGAATAAACGTGAAACTGAGCGCAACATGCACGAGCACAAAACCCCTCCCTGCCTCCTCCCCCGTATGAATATGCTAATGACTCAACTTTGGCACAACCCAACGAAAAAGCAAAGGCAAAAGCAAGCAAGAAGAGAAACTTTGAACAGAATGTGAATTGGAGGTGCTGCTTTCGGAGGTAGACCGGAGAAAAGCGGTGTTATTTGCAAGTTTGTTCTCCGGAATTAACAACAAAAGAAAAAAATAGAATGGGGAGAGTTTAGCTAATGCAGTTAACATAGTTGGGTCTGAACATCGGACTGTGGAGTTAAAAGAGAATTTGTGTGATTTATAGTTGTAAATGTTGCAGTACCCTTGGAAGACTCAGTGGCGCAGCTCGTAAGACGCATGTCAACATGTTTTGACACGTTCGAGCATGAACTCGGTTCGAATCCAGCGTCTGATGAACTCTTTCTTCTTTTTTTCCCCGCTACATATCAGATTTTGCCCACTATTTATCACGAGAAAGACAAGTAGGAATCATTAATAAGTTTGTGCATCATATTTTATTTGCACATTTATTGAATGGAAATGTTTTTGATTCACGCATGCAAGTTCATCTTCAGATAGTGTCTTTATAGCAATGTGCGTGCAGTAGATAGCTCAGATTACATTGGGAAAACAGGCGACCGCTGCAAATTGTGCTTTAATGTTTGGCTGGTCAAATGTATGGTATGGAAACCTTATATACCTGCTAGATGAACCTGTCTCATACAGCTGCCATTGCAAGGCTCAGACACTTTGTAGAGAATAATTTAACACAACTGCCTCTAGGAGTCGCCAATGGAAATAAAACAGACACGCACAAAAAATGTGCGTACGCCAGCCATAAAGCTGGCGTGGAGCTGCACACATTCCCACGTTCAGTTCATCGTTAGTAAATCCAAACGTGAGCGATTCTGAGCGTGAAACCTGCCGTACGCAAAGTTTTTGTGCGTACGCAGCGTTGATACATGAGATATTTCCAACGTTATCTCACAGCAATTCGTAACGTTTTGACTTAGTGGCTAATTCGTGTGAAATGTATGAGGATTTGCTTATCCCCCAATGACAGTTAGGTTAAGGCATAGGTCTTAAACTCGATTCCTGGAGAGCTGCTGCCCACCAGAAATTGAGTTTGAGACCATTGGGTTAAGGGGTGGGGTTTGGTGCCACGCCTCCATTTAAAAAATTGTATGTTTTTGTACGTTTGCGTATGAATTAGCCACTAATCTGACCAAACGTAAAATAGTTATGTTTTGTGAAATCAGGCTGGTATTGTCTTAGTCCCATATTTCAGCTCTATTTTAATTTTTAGTAAAGCTTTGAGTCATTTATTAGTCATTTATAAACAATAAAAAACCGCATCGTAGAACAAAATCACCATCCATTCATTCGCTATCGATGAATTTGCAATATGCAATGCATTTGGCCAATAAATAAATAAATAAATAGTCCTAAATGAAATGAGACTACATTTGTTCAGTATACCATCACTGCTTTTTATAAATAGCTACTTTTATTATGAAGTAGGCTAACTTTGATATAATGAATATTGATTCTTAGCGCTCAAAGATGTATGATTAGCCCGTTCCCTTACCCCCGGTAAAAAAATTTTTTTTTTCGCTGTCTTTGGTTGTAACGCAGAGGGTGCAACATCAATGGTAGGATCCAATATTAAGCTTTATTCTAGTGGCAGGAAGGCAAGGCTAGATACAAGAGCAGACAGATATAATAAGGACAATCCAAAGAGAAAGAAATGTAACAGAAGAAGAGGGTTGAGACAGATCATAAAACAGAATAAACAATCAAAGGGTCAAAACCCATTGCTTTGTAAATGTTTACTACGAATAACAAGACTCAGCACTGGATGTGTGTTTGAACAGTGCATATATAGTCCATGTAATCAACTGTTAATCAACTTTAGCTGTGTGTAATCAGAGTGGACTAGAAACCGATGTGTAACTGCAGCGCGTGATGGGAGATGTAGTACGGGTGAATGAGATGGAGTCCTCCACAGCGACCCACGAGGGCTACATCCCTGGTGATCACAACATTGGTCGTTGTAGCAAATTATAAGCATCAGCTCTGCTTATTTGCCATTACGCTAATTTGAGTTGCGCTTGTAATCTTTGACGATATGTAAACAAGATATTGTCTTTGTTCTTTAATTTGCACATCATCTGTAAATTTCCACACCTATCAGCGCTGTTTTCTCACAGAAATCTGCTTTGTTTAGTAAATCTGGCCCTTAATGTCAACCGCAAGTTGCTTAAACACACTGATATAAAAATTATTAATTGAATTTACTTGTTTTTTTTTATTTTGAAGGTAAGTGCTTGCAAATAATTAATATGAGTTAAATTTAAACAAATTTAACTTTTAATATTATTAAATTGTTTTGTTTTTTTTGGGTTTAAATTCAGCCCATATAAATTGTTTGCAACCACTTACCTTAAAAAAATTTAGTAAATCCAAAGAATTTTTTATCAGTGTATAATTTAAATTATTGATCGAAAAATTCATAGATTTTTTTAAATGACTGACTTTGTAATTATAATCTGATTTATCCCGTGACATCACAGATTTTGTCGATTATTAATCGTCTGTCGAATCCATTTTGTCTGTCAGTGAGCCTTTATGTTCATTTTCAGTTATCATTGTTACTGCCTGTCTTCATATGTCCTAATTGTGGGTCTTTTCCTTGTTGTTGTCAGTCCTTCTGTACGTCTGCGTTCATCAATCTCTCTGTTTTCATCTCTGAAGTCGGAGAGCGCCAGCCTCAAACACCAGAGCCAACAGAGACTCAGCAGACAGAAGATAAACACTGACACACAAGCACACACAGTCCACATACAATATATGTTTACTTGAAGAAGTACTTTCTCTTCTACAAATATATACGCCAAGAATGAACATTAGTGATATTTTAAATCGATCTAATAATTGTACTGTTAACATTCACATGAGCACAGATGCGGTGCCACTGTGTTCCATCACTAGCCTATAATCTGTGTTTAGGAATGAAGAGCACTGGTTATAATGCACAGGGACTGCCAATGTAAACCAGCCTCTTTCACTGTTTGCTTCAGCATTTATTCACATGAATGCCAGGTTTTCACTTACAACAACTAAGCCTTTTACCAACATCTGACACGTTCTTAGCTCCTAATAAACTGTGATTGGCATGTTTTTCCCATCAAATATTACATTACTTGTCCACTTGCTTCATAGACACTTAGGTATTACACTTATTACATATTACTTTCTTTAAAGTTTTACCTTAAACGGTAAAAGGGTGTGGTATGTAAATGAAATGAAATACAAATTGTTACGGTATATTCAGTTTTCTTTTTAAGTTTTAACTTTTAAATCCCTTTTGAGGTTTATTTACATCAAAAGTATAAACATTCAATTTAAGCTACAACCGGTTCATATTGAATAGACAGTTCAGCCAAAAATTTTAATTCTGCCCTAATTTACTCTACTTTTTCCAAACCTGTTGATTTTTTCTTCTCTTAAACACTAAGGAAGATGTACTGAAGCAGTGTTTCTCAACCATGTTCCTGGAGGACCACCAACACTGCATGTTTTGGATGCCTTCTTTGTCTGTCACACCAATTACAGGTCTTTCAGTGTCTGCTAGTGAGCTGATGATCTGAATCTGGTGAGTTTGGTTAAAAAGACATGGAAAATGTGCAGAACTTGAGGTCCTCCAGAACCATGGTTGAGAAACACTGTACTGAAGAATACTGAAAACCCAACAGCCATTGACCTTCATGGTATGTTTGTTCCTATTATTACTTTTCCCCAACATTTTCCAGAATATCTTGTTTCGTGTTCAACAGAAGAAAAACATACTATAAAATACTATAAAAAGTTTAGAACCACCCTAGTGTCAGTAAATTATGAGGAAGCGTTCATTTTTGGGTGTACTATCCCTTTAAGAACTGATTGAATTGTTTTAATACTAAATTAGAATTCAATACAATTAAAAACTGTGCTTGAATATGATGATTCTCGCACATACAAAATATAACACTGTAAAAGGACTAACATTTAAAGCTATTCTGCACTATACTACTATACCATATTAGCAACACACTTTTCAAAATAAAAGCTTCAAGATTTAATTTTCCCATGGTTCGCTTAACAATATTTCCCAACCCTGTTCCTGGTGGCGCACCAACAGTACATATTTTGGATGTCACTCTTACCTGCCCTATTAATTTCAGGTTTTGGAGTCTCTTCTAATGTCCTGATGAGTTAATTCAGGTGTGTTTGATTAGGGAGAGGTTAAAAATGTGTGCTATTGGTGTGCCTTTAGGAACAGGATTGGGAAACACTGCGCTACAGAACTGTAATATTGAACTCAAAATTTTACAATGTTTATTTTGCTAGCGCACATTGTTATCATTTAAGTGAACAACTCATTTCAAGTTGATCCAGTGAAAAAAAAAAGTTTGTTTTGATAATCTTCAATCAAAGTCTGACCATTTGCTTTCACATTTGGACTGTCAGTTCTTCTCTGTTTACATCAGTTTGACTGCCTATATTAGCCACAATATTCTTAACCACGCCCCTCTTACCGTTAGTTTGCCAAAAGTGAATGATGCGCAAAAAGAAAACCACACCCCCTTCTCAATATTCATTTCGAGTTGGAAGTACATCAACATACTGAAATACAAGTCCCACTTCCGGTTCATCCAGACTTTAATTTAACAAAAATAACTCATCATGGTGGGCATGGTGGCCCATTATGGGTGTTTCCAAGTACTGGGTTGCAGCTGGAAGGGCATCCGCTGTGTAAAACATATGCCAGAATAGTTGGTGGTTCATTCCGCTGTGGCGACCCCTGATAAATAAGGGAATAAGCCGAAGGAAAATTAATAAATGAACTCATCATCTCATACTTGACATAAACAAAGCAGCTCTTGTTCTTACCATCCATGCTCTCATTTCCAAATTTGTCTTTCCTTTATTTGCTGTTGTTTTTCTGTCTTTTAGCCGTCCGAGCAAAGGAAGCCCTTCTCACAGTGAGAGTCCACAACCTTCGTTTGACTCTTAGAGTCAATTGTCCTTCCTCTCCATCCTCGTTTCTCTCTCTCTTTCTCTGTCTCTCCTCTGACCAAGTGCATCATGGGATCGATGCGTTGGCATCTGAAACAGCAGGTATGGATGGAAGGAAGAATGCAGGACAACACTTTGTACTATACTCACTACAAACATCATCACGGGCCTCTGAATAATGAGCCCAATGTGGACTTTTGTCACCGCAGTGTTAACTATATCCTGAAGATGCTGTGTGTGGTGTTCGTGTTTACACACTACTAGATAATGTCGACTATTATAGAGTTTTGAAATGAGCTAAAAGTGTATCTTCACGGGTGAATACACAATATAAGATGTATGATTTTTTTTTTTGCACTTGTTATGTGGTACTTAATGTATGAATGTATTAGCCCTGAAAGTTTGGATGTTATTTGATCCCACAGTGTGTGTTTCGACCTTTATGTCTCTTTGTATTTTCCTTAGCAATCTAATAAAACTTGTCTCACTGACACATACTGTACATACATTAGAATATATTTATACATATAAAGGAACACACCACTTATTTGGAAAAATGTCATTTTACAAGGCCCCATAGAGTTGATTTTTACTATTTTGTTAATCCCTTCAGCCAATGTCTGGGTCTGCGGGAGCACTTTTAGCTTAGCTTAGCATAAATCATTGAATCGGATTAGACCATTAGCATCTCGCTCAAACATTTCAATAAAGAGTTTTGATTAGTATACAATGTAACAACAGAAGGGTCAAACTTTAAATAGGAAATTTATTAAAGCTTATTTTTGAAATTTTTTGAGTGATGCTAATGGTCCAATCCAATTCACTGGTTTATGCTAAGCTAAGCTAAAAGTGTTAATCGGCTGAATGGATTCAAAAATGGTAAAAATATACTGTTTAAACCTCTAAAATGAGCCTATTTCTAAAGAAAGTGGAGTGTTCCTTTAAAAAGTGTCTGGTATGGAGGAGAAAGTCTCAGAATTGCGTTTTATGTGAAGATTCATGTGCATTTGTTGATGCGGCAGTAAAAAGTTACATTTGCAAAATCAAAAGGAACACTCCACTTGTTTTAGAATAGTCACTTAGAGATAAACAGTTGAGTTTTACCATTTTTAAATCCATTCAGCCAATCTCTGAGTCTGCGGGAGCACTTTTAGCTTAGCTTAGCATAAATCATTGAATCGGATTAGACCATTAGCATTTTGCTCAATTTCAATAAAAGGTTTTGATGAATTTCCTGTTTAGAGTTTAACTGTTTTGTAGTTACACTGTTTAAGACTGAAAGATAATAATATTATGCAGCACATAAAAATATTGCAGCAAAGTACTTTGATTATTATGAATGTTCTTAGCCATATCAGTACACAATGTAATTACAGAAGTGTCAAGCTATAAATAGGAAAATTATTGAAGCTTTTTTTTTTTGAGTGATGCTAATGGTCCAATCCGATTCAATGGTTTATGCTAAGCTAAGCTAAGCTAAAAGTGATAAGTTGGCTGAATGGATTCAAAAATGGTAAAAATATATGATTTAAAACTAGGTTTAAATCACTAAAATGGGCCTTTTTCCAAAAAAGTAAAGTGGTCCTTTTAAAAAGGGTCTGGTATGCAATATTGTTAGGTTAAATAATTAGAATAATTAAGTTAAATTTGCATAATCAAAGCAACACTTGTTTCGGAATAGTCGCTTATAGTTAAACAGTTGAATTTTACCATTTTATAAATCCATTCAAACCAATCTCAGGGTCTGCAGAAGCACTTTTAGCTTAGCTTAGCATAAATCATTAAATCGGATTAGACCATTAGCATCTCGCTCAAAAATTTCAAAAAAGAGTTTTGATTAATTTCCTATTTAAAGCTTGACTTTTTTGTTGTTACATCGTGTACTAAGACTGACAGAAAATTATATGATACAGAAAAATATGGCTGCAAAGTTCTTTGATTATTGCACTGGAATGAGAGTATACTTCTTAGCCAGCCATAGCAGTCTATGAAATGGCAACCTTTAATTTTTTTTTGTCTTAGTACCCAGCGTTACTACATAAGAGTCAAGCTTTAAATACGAAAATTATCTAAACTCTTCTTTGATTTTTAGTTTTTTTTTTTGAGTGGTGTTAATGGTCCAATTGGATTCAATGGTTTATGCTAAGCTAAGCTAAAAGAGTTAATCAGCTGAATAGATTCAAAAATGGCAAAAATCTACAGTTTAAACCTTGAAAATGAGCCTATTTCTAAAAGAAAGTGGAGTGTTACTTTAAAGTGTCTGGTATGGAGGAGAAGGTCTCAGAATTGTGTTATAAAGATTTATATGCAGTTGTTGATGCGGCAGTAAAAAGTGGCCGACCAAAATGATCTTTTTCAATTGCAATATTGTTAAGTAAAATAAATAACATAATTAAGTTAAACTTGCAAAAATTTAAACAGTTGAGTTTTACCTTTTTTTAATCCATTCAGCGATCTCCGGGTATGCGGGAGCACTTTTAGCTTACCTTAGCATAAATTATGGAATCGGATTAGACCATTAGCATCTTGCTCAATTTCAATAAAGAGTTTTGATGAATTTCCTGTTTAAAGTTTGACTGCTTTGTAGTTTTATTGTGTAAGACTGACAGAAAATAATATTATGCAGCACATAAACTACTTTGATTATTACGCTGGAATGCTCTTAGCCATATCAGTACACAATGTAACTACAGAAGTGTCAAGCTATAAATAGGAAAATTATTGAATTCTTTTTTTTTTTTTGAGTGATGCTAATGGTCCAATCCGATTCAATGGTTTAAGCTAAGCTAAGCTAAAAGTTAGAAATAGCTGAATGGATTCAAAATGGTAGAAATCTACTGTTTATATCCAGGTTTAAATCTCTAAATTAAGCGTATTCCCTTAAAAAGTGGAGTGTTCCTTTAAAAAAAAAAGAGTACAAAACCTCAGATTTGTGTTTATGTGAAGATGATGCAGTTCATTTGTTTGTTTATGGGGCAGTAAAAGGTGGCTGACCAAAAGCAAAGGGCGGCAAATCAGTTAGATTGTTTTTAATGAATAAATCAATTGAAGCACTCGTAAAACCTTGTCTAAAGGAAGAGAATGTGTTACTGTGTTGATGTATATTTGTTGTGCATCTCTGGGAGTGTTTCTGTTGCATTGTGTCACCTTGTACATTTACTGAGTATTAATAAAAAGTCATTGTATTGAAAATGAACTGATTGTAAAAGTTTAGGGTTTGTTTGTATGTATGTGTGTGTGTATATATATACATATATATAGGGGGTCTGTGGGCAACACCAAAATCTCTAGTCTATATGGAATGGGTGTGTGTGAATCTCACTGCTGCCATGTGCATCTTATTGTGGTCTGATGTCATCAATGGCTGGTGCTTCGTGACTAAATTAAAGTGTCTTTGTGTGAAAGATAATCGTGAGCTCATGTGTGTTTTATTGTTGCTATTTTGTTGATTTATTTATTATTTAAAATAGAATTTTTATATTTGTTTACAGTTGTTTATTTTACAATAGAGACCTTCCTACAGTTCACAGTTGTTTATTTTACGGTTAAGGCTATTTTGGGTTTAATCATAAAGGGGTAGTTCACCAAAAAAATAATTATCATTTACTTACCCTTTACTTATTCAAAACCATTATTATGATTTCCCTTTTTTTCTGGTGAACATAAAAGGAGATGTTTTAAAGAATGTTTACAAATTGACTTCCATAGGATGTTTTTTTTTTTTTACTATGGATGTCAATGACTAACATTTTTCAACATTCTTCAAAATATCTACTTTTGTGTTCTACGGAACAAATGTAATACTGATAAAATAAATAAAAAACACCTAGCTTGAACTGAAATAAAGAACCACTTGAGAATGAGTAAATAGTGAACTATCCTTTTGAATGCTAATTTATTATTTCCAGCAGGATAACACACCATGTTATAAAGTGCAAATCATCTCAGACTGGTTTCTTGAACATGACAATGAGTTCACTGTACTCAAATGGCCTCCACAGTCCCCAGATCTCAATCCAATAAGGCACCTTTGGGATGTGGAGGAACGAGAGAATCGCATCATGGATGTGCGGCCGACAAATCTGCAGCAACTGCATGATGTTTTTATGGATGTAAATGGCTACCAGTTTCCAACTTTCTGCAAAATATCTACTTTTGTGTTTAACAGGAAAAATATGGACATATTTTTAAAAATAGAAACACTTTCTAGCTTGAACTGAAAAAATAACCACTTGAGAATGAGTAAATAGTGAACTCTCCCTTTAAAAACTAGTTTAGTAGTTCCAGCAGGATAACGCGCCATGTCATGAAACACAAATCATCTCAGATGATTTCTAGACATAGCAATGAGTTCACTGTACTCAAATGGCCTCCACAGTCCCCAGATCACAATCCAATAAGGCACCTTTGGGATGTGGTGGAACGGGAGATTCGCATCATGGATGTGCAGCCGACAAATCTGCAGCAACTGTGTGATGTTTTTACTATGGATGTCAATGGCTACCAGTTTCCAACATTCTTCAAAATATCTGCTTTTGTGTTCTACAGGAAAAATATGGACATATTTTTGAAAATATAAACACTTTCTAGCTTGAACTGAACTAACTGAAAAACGAACCACTTGGGAATCAGTAAAGTGAACTAACCCTTTAAATACTAATGTATTATTCAAACTGGTAATGAACCTATTTTATGAACTAACTTTTTACTTCTTATGACACCTCTTTTATGGTGATGTGAATTATTATGCAGCCTTTTTCATTTATTCATCCGCAGACTAATAGACAAATAAATATATTAAGAAAATTATATTGTAATGATGACAAGTTTAGTGTTGGTAATATTTTTTAAAATGTTTTTAAAGTCTTCAGTGTCACACAAGTCAAGAAACATTTTATAATTATTATTATAAAACTATGTAATTATAAAAAATTATAGAATTTTTAAAAATATATTTTGCGGTATTATGCATGTCTTTACTGTAACTGTTGATCAATTTAATGCACCCTCGATGAATTAATATATTATTATGGTGTTTATTTTTAAGTTGGACTTGGCTCAGTGGTTAGTACTGTTGCCTCACAGCAATAAGGTCACTGGTTCGAGTTCCAGCTGGGTCAGTTGGCATTTCTGTGTGGAGTTTGCATGTTCTCCCAGTGTTTGCATGGGTTTCCTCCTGGTGCTCCATTTTCCCACTCAAGTCCAAAGATATTCACTGTAGGTGAATTGGTTGAACTAAATTGGCCCTAGTGTATGAGTTTAAGTGTGAATGTGAGAGTGTATGGGTGTTTCCCAGTACTGGGTTGCGGCTGGAAGGGCATAAGCTGCGTAAAACATATGCTGGATAAGTTGGCAGTTCCTTACCCTGTGGCGACCCCAGATTAAAAAAGGGACTAAGCTGAAAAGAAAATGAATGAATGAATATTGTAATGATGAAAAGTTTAGTGTTGGTAATATTTTTTCAAATGTTTTTATTAAGTCTTCAGTGTCACATAAGTCAAGAAACGTTTTATTATTATTATTATAAAACTATATATTATACAAATTATAAATATAATATAATTTATTTTTGGACATTTTGTAGCATTATAAATGTCTTTAACTGTTGATCAATTTAATGCAGTCTTGCTGAATGAATAGATTATAATGGTTTTTATCACTTGGCACAGTGGGTAGTGATGTCGCCTCACAGCAAGAAAGCCACTGGTTCGAGTTGCAGCTGGGTCAGTTGGCGTTTCTGTGTGGAGTTTGCAAGTTCTCCTCGTGTTGGTGTGGGTTTCCTCTGGGTGCTTCAGTTTCCCACACAGTCTAAAGACTACAGGTGAAGTGGATTAACTAAATTGGCCCTAGTCTATGAGTGTGAGTGTGTGTGAATTAAAAGTGTATGGGTGTTTCCCAGTACTGGGTTGCTGCTGGAAGGGCATCCGATGTGTAAAACATGCTGGATAAGTTGGCGGTTCATTCCGCTGACTAAGCTGTATGAATGAAGGACCATATATACTCAAAAAAAAAAAAGGTGTTTGCTGTTTGTTCAAACTATTGATTTAACAAGAGCTCAAACAGCTACATTTTTGAGTTTCTTTTGGGACAACTTAATTGTTTTATGTTCAATGCACTTAAATTTGTAAAAACTAATAAGTTGAAACAATAGAAATATGAGCCTTCTGTGTGGTCAGCATCAACAAGTTCAAGAGCAGTTCATTTAGCTTGGGCTGAAAAAATGACTTGTTAATGGGAATTCCCTAATTAATAGTAGATGCAGACTGTTGATATCCTTGTAAACCACCTATTTCCTGCCCTTTTTTTGTTTCTGGAGGGCCAGAAGGCTTTGGAAAATGCTTCACATATTGAGAGGGAAATTATTTGACTAGAAAAACGTATAAATATTTTTCTTTTCGTTTTATTTATTAGACAGTCGAAGTTAGAATTATAAGTCCTCCTGAATTATTAGCCGTCTTGTAGATTTCTTTCCTCAATTTCTGTTTAACAAAAAGATTTTTTCAACAAATTTCTAAACATAATAGTTTTAACTCATTCCTAATAACTAATTTATTTTGTCTTTGCCATGATAACAGTAAATAATACATTACTAGATATTTTTCATGACACTTTTATACAGCCTAAAGTGACATTTAAAGGCTTAATTAGGCAAGGTTTGTTCTGTAGACAATCGCAAAATAAATATTGCTTAAAGAGACTAATAACATTGACCTTAAAATAGCCTTTAAAAATTAAAACTGCTTTCATTCTAGCCAAAATAAAACAAATAAGACTTTCTCCAGAAGAACAAACATTATAGAAAATACTATGCAAAATTCCTTGCTCTGTTAAACATCATTTGGCAAATATTTGAGAAAGAAAATAAAAGGGCGAATAATTCTGACTTTAACTGTATATATTTTTCAGCACACAGGTATAATCTGCATTTGGCGGCGCTGATATGAATTGCTAATCGGGGAGTAGTTGAGTTGAAGCCCTTGAGGAAAATGCATGCTGCCACACTGAAGATGATTGTGTAAACTGGTTGTGGTTCTGGGTCTCTGCTGGAGTCAGATGGTCGTGGGAGTCACAGTATGCAGCGTTGTGCTTGACTCACAGTATGTGGCTTTGTTTATGTTAAGTGGGTCAACACCATATAATGTAGTTGTTTCGTCAATAGAAGTAGAGCAAGGGTGCTTTGGAGTGGGGGAGGAGGAGTGTCGTACTGTAAAAGACATAGTGTAAACAGTCTTACTGTAGTTTTCAGTACATGAAGAACATTATTCAAAGATGATTCCTTGGATTAACTATTTTTTTTAAGTTAAGTGTGAACAAATTAAGTTGATCATTACTAAATTTAAGTTGCTCGTTTTAAATTCAACCCATACAAATTGCTTGCAACAATTGTGCAGTGTGTGTTTTATTTATTAGTTCTCAGTTATTTGGCGACATGGTGGCTCAGTGGTTAGCACTGTCACCTCACAGCAAAAAAGGTGCTGGTTTGAGTCCCGGTTTGATCAGTTGGCATTTCTGTAGGGAGTTTGCATGTTGTCCTCCGGATGCTCTGATTTCCCCCACAGTCCAAAGACATGCACTATAATGGAGTAAACTATAGGTGAATTAATTAAACTAAATTGGCCGTAGTGTATGTGTGTAAATGTGAATGTGTATGGATGTTTCCCAGTACTGGGTTGCAGATGAAAGGGCACCCGCTGTGTAAAACAAATGCTAGATAAGTTGGCGGTTCATTCCACTGTGGCGACCCCTGATGAATAAATGAACTAAACTGAAGGGAAATAAATGAATGAGTTTTCAGTTATCCTAATAGTTCTCCTGTTATTCTTCTTTACCTTATATTGGAAAGGAAAAGCCTCACCCTGTGTAGCTGCTTTGTATTTAAAATAAAAAACAGACACATTTTTTTTACCAACACTACATTATAATATAGTTATATTTTTGGTAAATTAACCAAACCATTTTTACCTATAATAAGCCATTTGGGTTTCTATTGACAAATTAAAAACATTTAATAAAAACCAGTGAAATGTTAAATACCTAAACACCTTAAGATCCCTAAAATACAATATAAATACACTGACACACACACACACACACACACACACACACACACACACATACATTTATTTATATTATGTGTATTTTAAACAATCTGTGTAAATCTTTTTTTTGTCTCTTGTGTGTGTCTCTTGTCTGTTTACACACAGACAGACACACACAAACACACACACGCACACACACACACACACACACACACCTGGGTATGTATGGTGCCAAAAAATAATCACTGAAAAACTATTTATAAAACAGAAATATCTATAAAATGCATGAGCATAAAAAATAGTCTGTGCATTTTCCAAAAAATGAATCAATTATTTTATTTTATTTAATAAATAAATAAATAAATAAATAAATAAATAAATAAATATTTTTTTGGCATGAATGAAATAGGCATATTGTGTCACAAAAAAGCAAAAAAAAAAAAAAACTAACAAAAACAAAAAACAATAAATAAAGCGAAAAAAAAAAAAATATATATATATATATATATATTTTTTTTTTTAAACCTTTTTTTCCCCCCATATCTCACACACTTAGGACTTAATTGGAATTTGTTGATGAATTTTGTTGATAAAATTTCCAATTGCTATACAATCTATTACCTTTTTAATCAGAAATTTAAGATTCATGCAAGTGAAATTAATTAATTTAGTCTAAATTCACAACTTATAAAACTCTAAACTTATTTATATACTCCTATACTTATTTATAAACTCTTGCTATTTAGATATTGTTTTCTTTAGATTCACTATGATTATGCTGATCTAACACAATATATGGCTTTAAATTAAAAAGCAAATGAAAAACACCATTTAATTAACGAATGATCCTTCAGGTCAAAGCAAGCGCACAGAATGCAACAGCTCTAGTATTCGACTGCATCATGAGGAAAGTCGGACAATCAGTGTTATGCTCAAAGGTTTTCAAGCTGTTAAACACAAATGAGTTTGTCACATTATAATGAGGCACATCCCCTGTGTTGTTACACCCATGTTTAGTGACAATGGTTTAGTGTTTAATGACTCTGTTTTTGTTCTGCCTTTTAGTCACTTAATTGTGTAGGAGTATTACTAGCTGAGTAAAAAAATAATGACTTGAAGTCTGTTTAGCTGTGCCTTTACTGAATGAACCCTGTGCTATTGTACATCAGACAGATCGCACTGATCCGACAGATGCAAAATTATGTTTTTCTTTTCTTTTTTATTCCTTTAAAATCTATTTTTTATTTGCTTATACTTGTTTCTTTTATTCCTTTATGTAAAGCACTTTGAATAACCACAGTGTATGAAATGTGCTATATAAACAAAGTTGCCTTGCCTCTATTTCCAGTTATTATATAGTCATGCTGATCTCATTTTTTGCTCTTTTATAGATTTTTTTATTTCTTTAAAAACACATAACATTAGAAATATTCAATTCTGTCATGCTGATTCAAAGTTACATTTTAATTTCTATGAGCTTACTTTTGCTGGGATGGTAATATACAACTGAACTGACAAACCAACGGGACACTGATGCACCAAACAAGGGGAAAAAGCATGAGGGGGAAAGTGTAAACTTCAGTGTATTTGACTAACCGTTTAGAGAGGGAGGATGAAAGAAGTTAAATTCCTTCAGGAAACCAGGCAACTATAACGTCTTCAGTGGTAGTTAAAGAAACGACTGTGCTTTACTTGAAAAATACAACCTGGTCGGTTGGTAAAGGAAAATAAACACTAAACTGCACTGTAGAAAATGCAGGGTTCTGCACAGTTCCTTCATGTTGTCCTAACACACATTGATTAAGTTAGCATTACAAATTTAGGAGGATTGAATATGAAACTATTCGGTTGTCCCCAAAAAAACTCAAGAATTGTTTTGTTTCATCTTATTTTAAATAAGCAGTTTGAACAAGCAGAATTTTTTTTGGTATGAATTTTAATTTAATCGCAGAATAAAAGAAAAATACATTTTAGTGTAGATTTTTCTCAGACTTTTATGCCTTTGGAATTTTAAGTTTATATTACACAATTTTGAGTTGATATTTAAGTTTAGACGAGTTTACTTGTGCTATCTTTTTTTCTCTTTATATTTCACATTTCTAAATTTATGTCACACAATTTTAACTTTTTACACACATTTTAGAGTTTGCCTCAGACTCACTAATCTGATGTTTGGCAATTTTTCTAAACATCTTCCAGTTAGAATTGGGGAAGCTATAGTGTATGTGTGTGAATGAGTGTGTATGGATGTTTCCCAGTGATAGGTTGCAGCTGGAAGGGCATCCACATTTCTCAATTCTGAGTTGATATCTTGCAATTTTGCATTAATATCTTGCAATTTTCTGCACAATTATGACTTTTTGACCCAATAATTTGAGTTTATATCTTGCAATGCTTATATTTTTCTCACAATTCTAAGTATATATATATATATATATATATATATATATATATATATATATATATATATATATATATATATATATATATATATATATTGATTTGACTTTATTTCTTGCTATTTAAACATTTTTTATGGGTTAAATTTAAACAAACAAATTAAATACAGTGATGAGTTATAAATGCAGAACTGCAAGATATTTTCTCGCATTTTTGACTCCCCACCCCCAATTCTGAGTTGTTCTGTCACTAATCGTGAATTTATTTCTTGTGATTCTTATTTTTTTCTTACAGTTGGCAGTAATTCTAACTTTATTTTCACAACTCCAAGTTTATATCTCTCAATTTTAAGTTTAAAACTCACAATTCTGAATTGTTCCTCACGATTACAAGTTAATATCTTGCAATTCTGAGCTGTAAGCATTAAAGTTGTGACTTTTTTTTTTTACACAATTCGGAGTTTTGGTCTCAAAAATTTGAATTTATTCCTTGCAATACATTTCTTTTTGTGACTTTATTTTACAAAACCTTGAATTTTGTCTATCAAAAGTCTGAGTTTAAAACTTGCAATTCATTTTTTCTTTTCACAACTATATATGTTTATCTTGTCTGTAACAATACAATTTTCACACAATCCTTTTCCCACAACTCAAAATGCATGAATATTCTGAATTGATATCTCACCATTACTTTCTCTATGCAGGAAAGCAACTTTATTTCATACAATGTCATCCCAACTTTTTACTCAATTTCCCCCCTCAAAATCGCAATTAATATTGTTTAAAAATAATTATTAATATTATTTTGATTTCATAGCTAAAAAAATGCTTCCATGTTACCAAAATTGTACTAAACATGTAAAATGTACATAAAAAAAACGTGTTTACACTCACAACAAAACACATTTAAACTATTACAGAAATGTCTGTAAGCACACATCCATTTGGACGACTGGAAACCATCATAAATCACGTAAAATAAGGGATAAACCTACTTTAAGAAGAACAGTTATTCCCTTGGGGCAAATACTTCAGAAAACCTCCCGAGTTTCAGACATTTCTGAGAATGTAGTCAAACGCTGAATTTCAAATGTAGCTCTGCTATTGGTGGAGACCTTCATACAGCGCGTCTGTGGAGCAGCGCACACACTTACACACGCACACACACACTTCCTCTCAGAGCGGGACGGCTGGGGGAGTTTCTCCAGTTTGAATGTCCCACTCAGAACTGCTGGAAAATAAACACAATAGCTGGGAATTTATGTTTGTTGACAAAAATGGATTATAGCAAACAAAACTCGCATCACGTGACCATCAGAGAAAGGTAAGCGTAAATGACATTCGCCTGTGTATAATTTGTCCGGGTCCGTTTGGGAACGCCTACTGAGAGACCCCAAAATACGCACAGAATGTTAACGTTATCGAGATACAGTGGGATATACGTTTATTTGTTTTGTCTGTGTAAGTTGTGTGTGATTTACTTCAATGAACGTACACAAAGTTTGTCGTAATAGCCGTAATTGATTAATAACGTTATTTCAGACTTTTGTGTCTTAATACTGCAGTGTTAAATCCTGACAGTGTGTCTTCAAGCTGATTTTAACATGTTCTGTAATCTGACAACAATAGAGTCTTCACGCTGCACATTGTGTGGAACTGAAGGAGTGTTTCGTCTGGTCTGTGATCAATGAAGCGGTCAAGCTGGAAGTTCATGATTACACGAGGAAGCTGCGCATTCATTTTGTTCTCTCTAACTGGCAAAAACAACAACAACACTAGACAGAAAAACACTAATATTGTTTAAATTGTTTAAATTGACACAGTACATTATTGAAAAAGCTGACTGTTGTTTATTAACTTAAAATGTAGCCTGCATGGTCATTACAAAACTTCTTGCACCATGTCATACTGTATTGATTGAATATAGCACAGCACTGGGTAGCTATCGTGAATAGAATATGTTAGCCTGCACCACAAAACTAAGTAACTGTTTGTAAATTCAGGTGGTCTTCTGCGTCGTTGATGATAGGATATGACAATATTTGGCAGAGATTTAAAAAAAAAATCTGGAACCCGAGGGTGCAAAAGAAACCAAATGCTGAGGAAGTTAATTTAATGTCCCAATCAAATTCTTTGAAATCCAAATTATCAATCAAAAATCAAGTTTTGATATATTCTCTGTCAGGAATGTACTGAATATCTTCATGGTACATGATTGAATAATCTTTTGGCATTAAATGTACGTTTTTATGCCCTAATACTGCATTAAAGATATCAAACCAAGAATCTTCAATGTAAGAACTGATGATTCTAGACGTGCAGTGATTAGGATGTCTAAAGTTCTGAACTATGACTGTAATAAAAACAACAACAACAACGTCAAAACAGCATGAGTGTATAACAGTATGAAAATTGTATAATTTAAAACCTAACTTCTTTTTGTGAAATGCTTTGCTTGAAAAATGAATGAATGTAATCTTTGTTTTTAATTAATGACACTTGTTAGTGTGACTTAAATGTCTGTACATTGTTTTAGTGGGGCCTCGAGGTATGAAATAAATCTGTAAAAATACTATTTGAATTTCCAATTATAACAATTTTTCAAAGTTTCATATAGGTTTTATATCAGGGTGTCCGCGGGGTCTTAACAAGTATTAAAGGTTGATAAATCAATGGAGAAATTTAAAAGTATTAAAAAGTCTTAAATGCTATTTTGCAAGGTATTAAATTTTATAACATTTTTGATCATGCAATGCATGGTCGTATGCTAAAGTTTGCCTGAATCAAATCTGCCAATATCGGGATGCTTTGTAGTTTATGAAATCAATACATTCCTGCAAGATTTGACAGCATGCTGCTTTGTTTACTGCAGTCACCAAAGAAATGCCTTTATCTATGTCAACCTGCTGAATTAGCTAGATTTAATCTATTCAGTATGAGTAATGTTTTAGTTTTGGATTAGTTTCTTACATTAATATTTAGTAATTATACTGTAAGTTGAGATCTCGCCAGTGTTTCCAGTTAAAACCTAAAGCGAGTTAAAATATAGTAAAGTATATAAAATGATAAGCAAACATGCTAAGTGTTTAAACAATGTTTAAACAATTCTTGTTGGCTGATGTGTGAAACCGTATGGTTTGAAGAATAGAGGCATGGTATAATAATTTAAAATTACCCTTAAATAGGGTCTTTTTATATCACCAGAATGATTTTTGATTTAAATATGCCTGACAACAAGTACACTAAGTGGCATTTGTTTCGTTATTTACTCAGAAAAGGGATCAAGCTACATTTTAATATACAAATAAAACAACAAAATGTAAGTGTGTATTGCATTTTTTTTTGGTTAATTAAAATCTGTATAACCCATAGATGTATAAAGTGTATTAGAAGTTAAATGTGTTTAGTTGATAAAAAGTAACTTCGGCTTAATCTAAATTGGATTTCCGCTCTGTAAGATGGAGTTTTAGTGCAGTGAACTGTGACCTCTGACCTCCCACTGCTGATAGCACTATGATTTCCAGCTGGGCTGTCAGACAACATTCCCTTCAATGTCCAGAAATCCCCAATTAAACATAATCGTTCAAGCTGTTTCAAAATTCTGAATTCATTACCAAACTAACAACAAACACAAGACCAGTCAAATAATCACAGTTTCATACAGTATTACTGTAATTCATGTAAAAAAAAATGACATTTATGTCAGTTCAGCTCTGCAGCTCTTCATACTCTGTAAAAAATGCTACTCTTACTTTGAGTTTTTGTCTTGTTTTTAGTCCAAATATCTTAAAAGTCTTAAATCAAGCTGCATTTTCTAGACGAGTACAATTTAATTTTTTTTTTAAGAAATAAAATGTCAAAATTTAGTCTGTTTTTCCTTAAAACAAGCAACAAAAAAAAAACACTCCCCAAGGGATAAGCTAAATAATCTAGTTTTCGCTTAATATTATTTTGCTTACCCCATTTACAGATTATTTTGCTTGTTATAAGGAAAAACTCACTTAATTTTAGGCTTGTCACGATATCTACCTGTAGTTGTATAATATATTGCACCAAAATATATTGCAATAAAAGATTGTCATTTTAAGGTCATTTTATGCCACTCATTATATAATGCCAAAATAACAATATTATGGCACTATTTCTTCTAAAGAATGCATCATTTTATTCTTAAGAATATTTAATTTAATTAAAGTCATTTTAACAACTAGGCATTGGAGTCAGAATGTGAAAATGCACATCCTAAATAAATAATAATAAATGTTAACACCAAAGTGCAGGGTAAAACAGTAGCAGAGGCTGTGATATCTGCTGCCAGATCTATTTTCAGTTTTTAGACACCCACTTGAAAATATACTAAAGTAATTTATATTACTAAAGTAATTTATATTAAATACTAGTGTTTTTTAACCATACTGTACTTACACTGACACTGAATCGATGCCACAGAGGACTAAGGCAGTTCTGAAGGCAAAAGGGGGTCCAACCTGGTACTAGTAAACTAATAAAGTACCTTACATTAGAGCTAGAGGTGTTGCACAATCAGCTAAAATGTTGCTAGAATCGTTTTTTATGCATGGCGATATACACTAACAGGCCACTTTATTAGGCACGCCTGTCCAACTGCTCGTTAACGCACATTTCTAACCAGCCAATCACATGGCAGCAACTAAATGCATTTAGGCATGTAGACATGGTCAAGACGATCTGTTCAAAACGAGTATCGGAATGGGGAAGGATGATGATTTAGGTGATCTTGAATGTGGCATGGTTGTTGGTTCCAGACAGTAATTCAGAAACTTCTCATCTACTGGGATTTTCTCGCCCAACCATCTCTATGGCTTTACAGAGAATGGTCCGAAAAAGAGAAAATATCCAGTGAACGGCAGGTGTGTGGGCGCAAATGCCTTGTTGATGCCAAAGGTCAGAGGACAATGGCCAGTGGTGGTGTGTAGGGAATATTTACTTGACACACTTTCGGCCCATTAGTATCAACTGAGCATCGTGTCAACACCACAGCCTACCTGGGTATTGTTGCTGACCATGTCCATCCCTTTATGACCACAGTGTACCCATCTTCTGATGGCTACTTCCATCAGGATAACGCACCATGTCATAAAACGCGAATCATCTCAGACTGGTTTCTTGAACACGACAATGAGTTCACTGTACTCAAATGACCTCCAGAGTCACCAGAGCTCAATCCAATAGAGCACCTTTGGGATGTGGTGGAATGGGAGATTCACATCATGGATGTGCAGCCGACAAATCTGCAGCAACTGTGTGATGCTTTCATGTCAAGATGGGCCAAAATCTCTGAGGAATATTTCCAATATCTTGTTGAATCGATGCCACAGAGGACTAAGGCAGTTCTGAAGGCAAAAGGGGGTCCAACCTGGTACTAGTAAACTAATAAAGTACCTAATAAAGTGACCGGTGAGTGCATATAGCTTCACCAAAAATGAATGAGGTCATGTCCATGTGTTGCGCAATGAGTTGATATACTGATTATTGTGACAGGCATACTTAATTTTGACATTATTTCTGAAAAAAACAACTATATTTTTTACTTTTCTAGAAATTGTTCAATATTTGAACTAGAGACTAGACAAAAACTCTAAATAAGAAAATCTATTTTGCAGTATAAAACCTCATTGTTGGAGTTAATAAACTTTTTTGAGTGGATTAAGATTTTAAGAGTTTATGCACCTCCTGCCAGGTCAGCTTGTCTACCACTCTTGTCATTGTGATTCATGTCAGAAGCGAATGTGCTAAACTGTACCATTTCTGTGCCTATAGGAGGAAGAGACTTCACAGGGAATCTCTCTGGCTGCAGGATCCAGTGCTCCCTAAGGGACCGTCAACAAAGAAGCCGTGTCATGAATTGAAGAGGCCTTCTGACAGCAGAGCCAGGAGATCTTCAGTGCGACACATCAGATCTGTCAGGGACAAAAGGCCATTGGCCGCAAGTCAGGAGGAAAAGTAAAGAACCTTTGTGTCTTGTGACATAAACACATCAAATGCGCACAAATGGGAAGTTTTTGCTCAGTGTAGCGTGACTGCATCCAAACAAAACTTACACACTGTCTACTGTTTAGCTCTGTTACTTTAGACCAATAGAATAATACATGGTGCTATAATTTACAGTTGAAGTCATTGAATTAACACCCTCCTGAGTTATTAGCCCCCCTGTATTTTTCCCCCTGTTTAACGGAGGTGAAGATTTTTTTTAAAGCATTTCTACACATAATAGTTTTAATAACTCATTTCTAATAACTGATTTATTTTATCTTTGCCATTAAGGGTGCTTTCACATCTATAGTTTGCTTTAGTTGGACCGGACCAAGGGCAATAAATGATACATTGTTGCATTTTCTGCCTTCTTTAGGTTGTTTTCACACCACACTGCTGGCTTTGGTCCGAACCAGTTGAAAAGAACCAAAATGTAGTCATCTGACAAAATCCACATCTCTCATTGGCCAGATGTTGTTGAACATAGTTCCTAAACTGCTTATCGATTGGTCAGAATTCACGTGCGGGAAAATGCCAATGAACTCCCGCAAGTAAACAAAACCGGCAGACACAAAATGTCACTTTTTACTATGCAGGGACGATTGTGCTGGCTAATTGTATCCCTGCTTTAGACAAACTATACATTTTGAGAATGAAGCAGCTGCGGCTAAAAAAACAATGTTTTAATGCATCGCACGTCACTTCAGGAGGAGGCGTGAATTATTTAGCTAAACTGCAACATGGTCATCTTGCAGAAATATGACCAATGATCCATCAGGTAGATTTTTCCCCCTCTCTCTCTCTCTCTCTCTCTCTCTCTCTCTCTCTCTCTCTCTCTCTCTCTCTTTCTCTGTTGGTAAAGCGCTGTCAACAAATATTTTTCCTCCATCTCCCATAATGCACAGCGCATCGGCCTACGGCAGCTGGATTAGTCCAAAAGGCGCAGTAGTTTTTTCGGTTGGGTCTGTTTTAGTTTGAATCATATTCTCACCAAAAAATTAACCACTCCAGGGTTTGTTTGAAACCGTACCGAGACCACCTCTTCAAGCAGGTCTCAGTACGCTTTTTCGGTCCGCTTTTGGTGCGCACTTGAGTACGATTGCTGCATTCACACCTGCCCAAACAAACCGCAGTACCGCACCAAGAGGGAAAACGAACTCTAGTGTGATTCAACCGAACTAAATAAGTCAGGTGTGAAAGCACCCTAAAATACTAGTATTCAGCTTAAAGGGACATTTAAAAGCTTAACTAGGTTAATTTGGGAAGTTAGAGTAAGTAAGCAAATAATTAAATAATTACATAATGATGGTTTGTTTCAAATCAAATCAAATCACTTTTATTGTCATATCATCAGCAACACGTGTGCTATGATGAGTAAAAAGCTTAGGTGCTGGCTCCAGACAGTACAAAATACAGACAGTGCAAATACTACGCAAAATACAACAGCATACTCCCCAAAAAAAACAGGACAATGTAAGATTGACAGCAATATGTACAATGAATAGGTGTCCACATAGTTGTAGGCAGTATTGTTTCAAGTATGGATTGGTGAAAGTGCAGTGCATGCTACATATTGATGGTGTGCAGTGAGATGTATGGAAGAGTCTGTGTGGGGTGTGTTAAGTGTTCATTAGCCTGATAGTCTGAGGAAAGAAACTTTCCTTCAGCTGGCTGGTGCGTGACCGGATACTGCTGAACCGTCTGCCTGAGGGTAGCAGAGAGAAAAGTCTATGGCTTGGGTGGCTGGAGTCACTGATAATTCTCTTGTAGACAAATGAAAAAAAAATATGGCATTTCTGTTTGGAGTTTGCATGTTCTCCTCATGTTCGGGTTCCCCCACAGTCCATAGAGATGCCGTTTAGGTGAATTGAATAAACAAAAATGACCGCAGTGTATGTGTTCATGTGAGAGTGGATGGGTGTTTCCTAGTACTGGGTTGCAGCTGGAAGGCCATCTGCTGTGTAAACAAGGAGTTAATATTGAGTGATTGCATTGTAGATAATACATTACAAAATGTATTTTGTTCCGCTTAACCAACACACTGTAAAAAGCAAACAGTTACTTTAAAAAAAAGTGAGCTAACCCATTGCCCTGAAAGCAACATGTTGACTTTACTTTGAAAGCTGAGTAAATCCATTGTAACTTGAAATACAATGGCAACTTGAAATTACGTTGACTTAACTTATTTTTATAATTATGCACATAATTTATTTACTTAAGTAAAGTCATTCATTCATTTTCCTTCGGCTTAGACTTTGATTTATCAGGGGTTGTCACAGCGGAATGAACTGCCAACTATTCCGGTATATGTTTTACGCTGCGGATGCTCTTCTAGCCAAAGAAACTTATGTGAACCCTGGGAGAACATGCAAACTCCACACAGAAATGACAATTGGCCCAGCCAGAACTCAACATGACCTTCTCGCTGTGAGGTGATTGTGCTAACCGCTAATCACTTTTTAAAGTACAAAAGTAGTTCCAAACAATGCCAGAGCAGAACTTTTGTGCATCTACAAGCAACACTTTGGTGTTTCCTTCATTTTTTCTTTTAAAATTCATAGCAATTCTAAAACACTTTTACCATGTAGATTGTGTCGAAGCAGCTTAACAAAAAAGTTGTAGTAAATTGAAACTGCATCAGTTCAGTTTTCAGAGTTGAAGTTCAGTTTAGTTCTGTTCAGTGTGGTTTAATTTTCACTGCTGAAAGTCCAAACACTGAAGAGCAAATCCATCAATGCGCAGCTCCACAAGTCCTAAAACAAAGCAAGCCAGCGGCTTCACAAATGAATCGTTCAATTTTTTTTAATCAGTTAAGGATTCAAGTCTTTATGAACTTGTTCCTAAACGAATCAGCCATAAGCAAGTAGTTTAAATAAATGATTCAGTGAATCAGATATTTATTAGTAACTATGCTAATAAAGAGAATAAAAAAATAAAATAGGCCTAAAGGCAAGGCACCAGCAGAAAAACACATTTAGCATCATTAATTAATTACAGTTACTGAAAAAAGCACCAAATTAATTAGTTCATATTTGTTCTGTAAGATGTGTCACTTAGTGATATATGGTAGAGCAGTGTTTTTAAACCTGGTGGATTTTGTTCTTATAGGGTGAAAAATATATAGTAGTAATATAATGAAATGCTATTTTTTTTTTTTTGGTGTTTAGTGTTACTAGGCCTGCTGAGGGGAACTGGAGGAAAGCTGTTAGCCGAAATTCATCTGCTCAAGTTAAAGTGGCTTCTGTGGTCAAAACTACTGTAAAGAACGATAAACAACCTGCCACCAAAAAGAGGAGGAAAATTCACCCGTCGGGTTTCAGAGGAAAAGGTATGTGATTATTCCTTTGACTGAGACGTCTGCACTGGGGCTTAGTGGTTAGCACTGTCACCTCACAACAAGAAGGCTGCTGGTTTGAGTCACGGCTGGATCAGTTGGCATTTCTGTGTGGAGTTTGCATGTTCTTCCCTTGTTATTGTTGGTTTCCTCTGAGTGCTCTGTATAGGGTATAGATACATTGGATGAACTAAATTGGCTGTAGTGTGTGTGTGATTGTGTATGGGTGTTTCCCAGTACTGAGTTGCGGCTGGAAGGGAATTCAATGCTTAAAACATATGCTGGAATAGTTGGCAGTTCATTCAATTGTGGTGACCTCTGAAATGGAGACTGAATGAACCGAGTAGGTATCGCTGCAGCCTAGAGACCTCCAAGTGGGAGGGATTACATCGCAGGTAGGTTGGGTGACCTCCAAGTGGGAGGAACTAAAACCACAAGTAGGTTGGGTTTAAGTGGTGTAGGTGAAGTAGATGTTAATAAAACACATCAGGTTACTGTGAGGTTGGGTTTAGGGTTGGGTTTAGGTGTAGACGTTAATAAAACACATCAGGTTACTGTGAGGATGGGTTTAGGGTTGGGTTTAGGTGTAGATGTTAATAAAACACATCAGGTTACTGTGAGGTTGGGTTTAGGGTTGGGTTTAGGTGTAGACGTTAATAAAACACATCAGGTTACTGTGAGGTTGGGTTTAGGGTTGGGTTTAGGTGTAGATGTTAATAAAACACATCAGGTTACTGTGAGGTTGGGTTTAGGGTTGGGTTTAGGTGTAGATGTTAATAAAACACATCAGGTTACTGTGAGGTTGGGTTTAGGGTTGGGTTTAGGTGTAGACGTTAATAAAACACATCAGGTTACTGTGAGGTTGGGTTTAGGGTTGGGTTTAGGTGTAGATGTTAATAAAACACATCAGGTTACTGTGAGGTTGGGTTTAGGGTTGGGTTTAGGTGTAGATGTTAATAAAACACAACAGGTTACTGTGAGGTTGGGTTTTGGGTTAGGTGTACACATTCTTAAAGCACAATATTAAACTCTAAATACGACTAAATAAATAAAATAATTAAAAACTCCAGGTTTGCACAGCCCACTTGGAGCTCGAAGGCCCACCCACTTGGAGCTGGCTCCGACCTCCGTTTATACCCCTCTCGAGTGAACAGATTGATAAAGCATTCTTTGACATTGTTCACTGAGTACCACTAGATGGCAGTGTTGAAATGCTCAGACCAAGCCAATCTTGCTGTAAAGGGACAGAAATAATTGATGGGCTGTTCAACAATTATAGATACACTAAACCCATTCCTGATTGTAAAACTGTATGTAAACTTTGTTTAAAGGCTTTAATAAGCATTATTATTTTTCTAGTTTTTCTGTAGATTATTAATGCACCTCAAAACATAATATCTTGTCCTATTTTAGAAGCAAATAGTATGTTGTATGTCTCTCCATTAAGCTTAGGCAAGGCAAGTTATTTAGCACATTTTATACACAGTGTGAATTCAAAGTGCTTTACATAAACAAGAATAAAAGAAACAAAACACAAGTATAAGCAAAAAAAAAATAGATTCATAATTTGTTAAAACAGGCTTCATTCACAAAATGTATTAAAACAAAATTAATAGAAAGAATAAATAATTGCACACAGCTGGTCAAATGTACAGACAGTGCCACTTTTTTTATTCAGTTCCAGACATAAAATGAAATTACACAATTTAATAATGACACATTAAATAAAAATCAAAATAACGACATTACACATTTTTACAATTTTAATTAAATGCTGAATTTTATGTTGTTTTCAGTGCATTTTTAAATGTACAGACGTCATTCATTCATTTTCTTTTCGGCTTAGTCCCTTTATTAATCAGGGGTCGCCACAGAGGAATGAACCGCCAATTTATCCAGCATATGTTTTATGCAGCGAATGCCCTTCCAGCTGCAACCCATCACTGGGAAACACCCATACACTTCCATTCACACACATACACTACGGACAATTTAACCTACCCAGTTCACCTGTACCGCATGTCTTTGGACTTGTGGGGAAACCGGAGCACCCGGAGGAAACCCACGCCAACACAAGAGAACATGCAAACTCCATACACGAAATACCAACTGACCCAGCCGAGGCTCGAACCAGTAACCTTTTTGCTGTGAGGCAACAGTGCTACCAACTGCACTACCATGTTGCCGACAGTGCCACTCAATATATATAAATATGTTTTTTTTATTCAGTTACACACATACATTTAAACTACACACTTTAATAATGACACGTTAATTAAAAATCTAAATAAAGACGTTATATTTGTTTTTAATTTTAATTAAATGCTGGCTAGGTAGGTAGTGCTGTCGCCTTACAGCAAGTAGGTCCCTGTTCGAGCCTCGGCTGGGTCAGCTTGCGTTTCCGTGTGGAGTTTTCATGTTCTCCCATGAGTTCGCGTGGGTTTCCTCTGGGTGCTCCGGTTTCCCCCACAGTCCAAAGACATGCGGTACACTTGAATTGGGTAAGCTAAATTGTCCGTTGTGTATGTGTGTGATTGAGTGTGTATGGGTGTTTCCCAGTGATGGGTTGCAGCTGGAAGGGCATCCGCTGCGTAAAGCATATGCTGGATAAGTTGGCGGTTCATTCCGCTGTGGCGACCCCTGATTTATAAAGGGACTAAGCCGAAAAGAAAATGAATGAATTAATAATTGCTGGATTTTTCTATTTGTTAGTGTGCTGAAAAAATGTCCACACAAATAATAAGCAGCACAACTTTTTCAATAAAAACTTTGCTAATATAAAAAAAATGTATAAAAAGAAAAATGAAAACATGAGCATTTCCTAAGAATCAGATCGGTGTTTACTGATTTAACACTGAAAAATAATACAAATTGACAATATATTGAAATAAAAGGTCAGTTTTATCACTATTATGATACAAATGTAAAAACATCACAATTTGTCCTCTATTGCTCATAAATTTGCTCGCTTTGGGGAACATATACAACTTAGAAACAATAATTTTTTTTTACAAATTTATGTTTTATATTTTTCACTGATTCTGGAGTGGGAAAATGACTGCATTAACATGACTGAAATTCAGCATGCTCTGTGCCAGTTCATTCATTTTTTGTCAGCTTAGTTCCTAATTTATCAGGGTTCGCCACTGTTGAATGAACTGTTAACTATATCAGCATATATTTTAAGCAGCGGATGTGCTTCCAGCCGCAACCCAGTACTGGGAAACACCCATACACTCTTGCGTTCATACACACACTAAGGCCGTACTCCCACTAGGTACAGTTGCCTCGAACCGGGCCAAAGCATGCTTGTCCCCCCTCCCGTCTCCCCCGACGGCCCGCACTCACACCACAATCTGGCCTCGGCATGCTTACGTCATTGCTGCTGGGCTGTTCATTGAGAAGCGCTCTCTCACTCAGCAGCGCAGTGGAGATTTTTCTAGTTATATTGTGTCAGTCGTTTGATATGCAGTGACATGCAGTCAAATAATTCGCCAAACAGTACTTAGGGATGCGGTGACACGCAGTCAGATATTTCGCCGAACAGATCCGCCACTTTTGGTGCTCATAATCATAATGCTTTCGTGCTGCAGGAGAAGGTCTGCTGAAGGTGCGCAGCTGTCGTGCAGTGAGAGGTTTCCATCTTTAATAAACTACGACAGTTAGTGCTCACTGAACAGTAAGAATGATTAATAAATTCATATGAAACAGCCCCTTAAAAGTCATATCTCGCTTTCAGTTTCGAGCTTTGGCGTGTATTGCACTCGCACTACAAACGTACCGAGCCCAAGTGAACCACGCTCAAGCCCACCTCATCCAACCGGGCCAGGGGCGGCCAAGTGAACCGTGCTTGAGCCCGATTCAGCACACTGAATACACTACGGCCAATTTATTTCATTCAACTCACCCTTAGCTCATGTCTTTGGACTGTGGGGAAAACCAGAGCACCCAGCAGCCACGCCAACACGGAGAACATGCAAACTTCAGACAGACATGCCAACTGGCCCAACCGGGACTCAAACCAGCAACCTTTTGCTGTGAGGCCACAGTGCTTACCACTGAGCCTTTGTTCCGCCTCTGTGTCAGTTGTTGATTGTTATTTTTATCTGCATGGATGTTGAGTTGCATGTATTTTCCACATCTCTCCCAAAGGAGGCCAGGAAACCGAGCTTAACACAATGTTTTATGCACTCAACACGCTTTGGCTCTTGCAGATGTGGGTGTACTTTTCACAGCCACAACATGCTTTCATCCTGGAGTTTGTCCAGTTAGCAGGATTCACACAGCAGCACCTAATAGCTATTCTTATCTTCTTTATGCTAATCAGTAAAACGTGTGAAAGAAAGACGTGACCTCTGGAGAGGCAGAGAGAGCAGCAGCTTCATCCAGGAAATAAGGAGACCGTTTGATTTCCTTTTGTGTCAATAAATGACTCGCACAGATTAAAGTCCTTTAACGGCCAAGAATAATGACTTCGCCTGAAGACTACTTTTAGTCATTCTTCCAAGAACAATAACATATGTGGTTAGTATTTATAGAAAGCACTTTTCTGTTATCGTCATATCATAATCCAAAAAAGAAAACACACTGGTTTGTTTTGTTGAATTATAGGGACTTTACTTAATTTTTTTATAGATTTTATACTGTAGAAACTGTATTTTTAATCCATATCCATAGACCCGTCCCATATCTCAATAAAAAAAAAAAAAAATCTCATTCTGTTTGATAGATAAGCTTTTGAAAAAATTGGGACATCAACAATGTCCTCATAATTCACCAACTTCTTGTTATAGAAGTTGTTAATCTTCTAGATTTAGTTCTTACAAATTTAAGTAGATTGAACATAAAACAATTAAGTTGTCCCCATAAAAACGCAGGAATTTTGTTGTTTCAGCTCATTTTATATAAGTAGTGAACAAAACAGTCACATTTTGAGTGTAGAGCAAAAAACAGCAAAAAATGTAATAATAATCTGTGTAAAATAAAGCACAAAACAAGACCAAAAACAAAGAAAATGGCAACATAAAAGACAACAGTGTTTTAATTTAAAGAAACATAACAAAAATTCACAGAATTTCTAGATTTCATTATTCAAATTATTTGGATATGTATTTTTATTACTAACATTTTTTGCCATTAAAAATTATATATATACACACACACACACATATACACACACACACACACACACACACACACACACACACACACACACACACACACACACACACACACACACACACACACACACACACACACACACACACACACACACACACACACACAGTTCAAGTCAGAATTATTAGCCTTTGATTTTCTTTTTTTTTTTTTTATATTTCGCAAATGATGTTTAACAGAGCAAGGAAATTTTCACAGTATGTCTGAAAATATTTTTTCTTCTGGAGAAAGTCTTATTTGTTTTATTTTGGCCAGAATAAAAGCAGTTTTAAATTTTTTAAAACTTATTTTAAGGCCATAATTATTAGCCCCTTTAAGCTATATATTTTTTCGATATTTTTACAGAACAAACCATCGTTATACAATAACTTGCCTAAATTATACTAACCTGCCTAGTTAACCTAATTAACCTAATTAGTTAAGCCTTTAGATGTCACTTTAAGCTGTATAGAAGTGTCTTGAAAATATCTAGTCAAATATTATTTACTGTCTGTCATCATGGCAAAGATAAAATAAATCAGTTATTAGAAATGAGTTATTAAAACTATTATGTTTAGAAATGTGTTGAAAAAATCTGATATATATATATATATATATATATATATATATATATATATATATATATATATATATATATAAAACCAGCAATAATGTGTGTAATAAATACAATTTTAAATAATATTCCAGAAAAAGTAAATCAGAAAAATATCTGATTTCATGGACTCAGATAAGAATGTTTGCTGTTTGTATTATGTTTAGTCTACCTAAATTTGTAAAAACGAATAAGTTAACTTAATTCCTTTATGTTGTCCAAACACAAATCAATTATTTTTATTTTTTTTACAGTTTAGGGCCTTATATATCATTTGTTTTGTGTTTTCCATCTCAAAGTTCACGGTGAGATCATTACTTTGAAGCAAGCAGATTAATCCAAGTGTGTTCTGCTTTTGAATTTTGCTATATTATGAGAAACCAAACAACTGACCTCAGATCTGCATGAAGGGCAGAGGTTTAGTTTATTGTTAGTCTGGCAGGTGGACTTTCCCTCCCTCCCTCCCCTTTCACTAGAGCACTGCTGCTCTTTGACCAATCACAGCTCCTCCTGTCTTATCACATATTCAAAACGCAAGGCGGTTCAAATTTATGCTTGTTTTCTCCTGCTGTCCTTTATCCTCCTGTGGCAACATATGCATAGTGGCGGTTAAGCCTTTGAATAGCTGCAAGGCTTCACGTTTGAATTCATTTATAAGATTTCTGACACCTCATGTGTCATGCGTGCACTTTGGGAAATTTTGGTAAATATTCAAGCTGTTGGTTTTACTGTAACATGGACTGTCAGAAGGCACAGAAAATGGCACTGAGCCGTTTAAGACAATGGCAGAGATCTGCTTTTCTTTTACAAACTCACGGTGAGTCTTTATTGAAATACTTCAGTAACATTAAAGTGTTATCTGCAGTTTAAATAGTCTACAATATATAAGATTATACCCTTCTCAGTTGTGAAATTGATTAACATTTTCCCCTTTTTGTTAGTTTTATTGACAATAGCTACTGTATAAGCTAGTTTTACTGAATGGGGATGAGCAAATTGCTTGCTAGCTAATACGTTGAAGCAAATTTAACAGATACAAACAGCCACACGCTAAATATTTCATATTTTTAAAAGCTCAACATTCAAATCAGGCTTTATTTGTTTAGTTAAATTTAAGAACTTTCCAAAGAACTTTTATTTATTCATTTTCATTCGGCGTAGTCCCCTATTTATCCGGCATCGCCACAGCGACAGTGTTGTAGATGAAGAGACTTTAATGTGTGTGACTACACACGTCACAGCGTTTGAGAGACACCGATCTAATGGCCTGACTCTGCTGCAGGTCTGGAGGAAATATGTCTATGTCAGTGCACATATTAGTGGAACAGCAGCTGTTGTGTCATATGCTATGCTCCAATAATTTGAGCATCCATTACACCTGCAAGTCTGACAGGTTTTTAGGTCCACATATGTAGATTTTTTAAAATTAAAATATTTATTAAAAGTTATAAGCGGGAATTATTAAGGGATTTTAAAATTACTCATACTGGAAAAGTCATGATAGCTTTAACAAATAATAATAATAATAATAATAATAATAATAATAATAAATGTAACAATATTTAACAGTATTGCTGTTATACTGTGTTTTTGACTAAAGTAATAGTATTAAAAAAATTTGGTTTAGTGTACTGACCCCTGACATGTTTAAACCTGTGAAAAAGTAAGTTTTTGTTTCTATGTTTTATGTTTGTGTAAAAAAATAAAATAAATAAATAAATAAATAAATATATATATATATATATATATATATATATATATATATATATATATATATATATATATATATATATATATACTGTATAACTGTAATAATATATGTAAATAATATTTCTGTAATAATATTACATTAGATATTTACTGTGCTGCAACAACATTATTGTCAAAGTAAAGAATAATATTGAAAAGAAGAATTTAGGTAATACTATGATAAATTATTATTAATAATAATAATAAAATGAACGATAAACATGATAACTATAATATACTAACGCCGATAACAGTAATGATACTACTACAACTACTACTACTACTACTAATAATAATAATATTAATAAAACAACAACAGCTTTAACAATAAATTGAGGTGGTGGAAGATATACGATCAGCATTGAAGTGCACAGTGTTTGTCAATTTTTTGTGATGCATTAAAAAAGTATGACGTGTGGCATGGATTAGTCTAGTGCAATGCCCAGGCTGCCATGCCCACGCCACACTTAGTGTGTTACCATTAATTTTAACTGATTGCAAAATTCATTGTTTGTTTTTTGCATTATGCTTAATGTCTGCATGTAATTTGGTTTTCTGTGCCCACAGGTCAGCTTAAACTGATAGTCACTCCAGGCCGAGGGTGGCTTTATATGCAAGGTAAACAAGAACCACAATGTACTTTAAACAAGTACACTACCTGATAAAAGTCTTGTCATTGATCACAGTCGTAAGAGCAGCAAATAATAACTTGACTTCTAGTTGATCATTTGGAAAAGGGGCAGAAGGTAGATTTTTCCAATGAATCATCTGTTGAAGTGTATCCCAATCATCACAAATACAGCAGAAGGCCAATTGTAACCTGCATGGACCCAAGATTCTCATAGAAATCAGTCAAGTTTGGTGAAGGAAAAATCGTGGTTTGGGGTTACATTCAGTATGGGGGCGTGCGAGAAATCTGCAGAGTGGATGGCAACATCAACAGCCTGAGGTATCAAAACATTTGTGCTGCCAATTACATTCAGGGTGTCCGCAGGGTCTTAAAAACACTTAAAATGACTTAAATTTCAAAAACAAAATTTTAGGCTTTAAAAAGTGTTAAATTAACATTAAAAAGTCTTAAATAATTTTAAACTGGTCTTAATTTTAAAAGAAGTTCATCCAATCTCCATCAATCAATCTAAATAATTTTTTATATATAAATATTTACGTTTTTTTTTTTTTTTTCAAAACAGCTGTCAGACATTTTTACAGCAAATTCTCTGAATTAAATTCCCTGATCAGGAAAAGAAAACTAAAAACAATTACACAATTCCTCATGATAATAACATCAATATATTCCTTTACATGATTTTCCATTTACACAAAAACTATTTGCAGAAGTGTGTGGACATAATATTTATTAATAGGCATGAAACATAAGCTTTTGCAAACAGAAATGTATTAGGTTGAATAGAAGCTATACTCAATTAATTTGAACAAAAAGCAAACCAATATAATTTTTTTGTAATTTTCTTCATAATATACTTTTGACAATGCTAAACTTGTCATTAAAAAAGAAACATGTTGAAAAAATAAATGTATACAACTGGACACATTAGGATATGTGGTTAAGAAATAACTGCATTACATTTTTTTCCCAATTCTTTTGGCCCTAATGGGCTATGTTAAGCCCTGTATAAGTCTAGAATTTGGTCTTAAAAGGGTCTTAAAAGTCTTAGATTTGATTTGATGAAACCTGCAGAAACCCTGACATTGCAAACCATAGGAGAGGGCAAATTCTTCAGCAGGATAGCGCTCTTTCTCGTAATTCAGCCTCCACATCAAAGTTCCTGAAAGTAAAGGTCAATGTGCTTCAGGATTGGCCATCCCAGTCACCAGATCTGAACATTATTGAGCATGTCTAGGGTAAGATGGAGGAGGAGGCATTGAAGATGAATAAAAACAATCTTGATGAATTCTGGGAGTCCTACAATTACGTTATTTGAGTCATTGTAGAGATGTATGGATACAGTCCTCCAAGCTCATGGGAGTCATACACAATGTTAATTCTTTTTCCACTGCACCATGACTTTATATTCTATACTGTAAATTATTTTTGTTAAGTGACAAGACTTTTGTCTAAGCAAAGTCAGACCTTCCTGTCCTAATTAAATAATTAAAAATCAAGACATGATCATATTTTATTTTGGTAAAATAAGCATAATCTAGAGGCCTTTGGCTTCATATAAGCCACTTCTAAAACCAAATGATCTTCTAGAAGTCAAGTTATTATTTGCTGTTTCTAAAACCTGGATTGGTGGCAAGACTTTTGTCAGGTAGTATATACAATTTATATCCCTGTCTCATATAAAAAGAACTTCATTACTCATCCTCTCCTATTTATTAACAGTTTTGGAGGCCAGAGGACTCATGGGAAGAGAATACAGACCATGTGACTCATATGTAAAGGTGGGTATTTTACAGATCCAGTCAATGCAGTTTGTTCATATGAGGCCATGTGACCGCGAACAACCTATTTTTCTCCGAGCTGACAGACAGCAATAACTTTCCCGGTCACTGTTGGTGATGATGTGTTATTATTTTTGTCATCATTTGTCGCATAATCCTCGGTTGGATGTCTGCCCTTGAAATGAACCCATTTTCATGTCAGCCCGAGCAAGATTCAGGCATGAGAAAGCATCAGTTGCGTTGGCAGCTGTCCACTCAATTCCCGATTCAAGTGTTGATTGATTTTCCCACTGAATATGTCCACTAGCAATGTTAAACAAGAGCACTTAGCAGCCACCATCCCCAACACGTGTTTGTTTATTCCAGATAAGCATCGCTCCGGATGTTGACCACAGCAAGCGCTGGAAAACCAGGACTGTTCTGGACTGCAAGAGTCCTGTTTTCAACGAGGGCTTTATGCTGTGAGTGACTCGTTTATCATTTTGGTGTTTGCTACAGACCCGTACTATGGCGTTTAAGACTAGGAAGCAGAAGAGTGCCATGTTATCTCAAAGATGAATAATTTATGTTAAACATGGTGTGCCCTCTGACCTCTAGTCTGAAAGCTTCTCACCATCTCTATCAGTCTTCTGGACAGAGACTTTAGTGCTGGGTGTCCTGCCTCTCTTTTGTTAGAAAAAGTCAAGTCTTCGGAGGAGAGGGCCATTGTGTTTTTGGATGAGGCTGGACTTTGATGGATGAGCTTTTGAAGTGTTGTGTATTTGTTGTAGAGACGTAGATGAAGATGATCAGAAGAAGAGGCTGCTGGTGACAGTGTGGAATCGGGACCGTGATTCCAGGTAGGACACGTGATATTATTAGTTTTAGCTTAAAGGTGTCATGTAATGAAAATCTGGATGTAACTAGTGTTATGTCCCCTCCCTTTTTTAATGGTCGAGGGGAAATGAAAAGGAAAACATTAAACCAGTTGTAATTATTGTTGACATTTATAATAGATGAGGAGCAACAAGACAGTAAAGAGCAATTTAAGTGAACTTCACTCATTCATTTTCTTTTTGGCTTAGTCTCTTTATTAACCAAACACATACACTATGGACAATTTAGCTTATTCAATTCACCTATAGCGCATGTTTTTGGACTGGGTTTCCTCCGTGTGCTTTGGGTTCCCCCACAAGTCCAAAGATATGCGTTATAGGTGAATTGGGTAAGTTATAAATGGCTGTAGGGTATGTGTGTGAATGAGAGTGTATGGGTGTTTCCCAGTGATGGGATGCAGCTGGAAGGGCATCCACTGCTGTAACATATGCTGGATAAGTTGGCGGTTCGTTTTGCTGTGGCGACCCCTGATGAATAAAGGGACGAAACCAAAAGGAATATGAATGAATGAATATCAACCAAGTTTAACAGACATAAGGAAGACAAAGGGGATAAGACTCTGCCACACAAAAGAAAAGAATAAAACAAAAATCAACTAACTAACCTTTTTAACTCTTCCGCTTTAATTACAAAATAAAACTAAAAGTAAACTTTCAAAGTCCGAGACAGTGGACAGTTACCTACTCTCTTCTCTCTGTACTATACAAGTACACTACCTGACAAAAGTCTTGTCGTTGATCACAGTTGTAAGAGCAGCAAATAATAACTTGACTTTTAGTTGATCATTTGGAAAAGTGGCAGAAGGTGGATTTTTCTGACGAATCATCTGTTGAAGTGTATCCCAATCATCACAAATACTGCAGAAGACCAACTGGAACCTGCATGGACCCACAATTTTCATGAAAATCAGTCAAGTTTGGTGAAAGAAAGATCATGGTTTAGGGTTACATTCAGCATGCGAGAGATCTGCAGAGTGGATGGCAACATCAACAGCCTGAGGTAACAAGACATTTGTGCTGCCCATTACATTACAAACCACAGGAGAGGGCAGATTCCTCAAGCAGGATAGCTTTCCGTCTTATATTTTAGCCTCCACATCAAAGTTCCTGAAAGTAAAGAAGGTCAAGGTGTTCCAGGATTGGCCAGCCCAGTCACCAGACATGAATATTTTTGAGTATGTCTAGGGTAAGATCAAGGAGGAGGCACTGAGGATGAATCTTGATGAACTCTGGGTGTCCTGCAAGAACGCTTTCTTTGCCATTCCAGATGACTTTATTAATAAGTTATTTGAGTCATTGCAGAGATATATGGATGCAGTCCTTCAAGCTCATAGGAGTCATACACAATATTCATTCTTTTTCCACTGCACAATGACCTTATATTCTATACTGTACATTACTTCTGTTAAGTGACAAGACTTTTGTCTAAGCAAAGTCAGACCTTAAGCCTCCTTTCCACTGCAAATAACAAACAAAGACAAATGACAAGCAACAGACCGGAATTCATTCATTTCCAATGGAGAGCATTCCGGGAGCTGCGTGGAGTTCCGATCATCTTTGTATGCGCAAAGTTCGGATCCGATTTGAGCTGCGGATCCGTTGAAATATTTTAACTCCTGCGACTAGACCGTATGCGCCCTGCCGAATGGATGTGATGTATTCCTGATGTATTTCTGTTCATAAATCTAAGTAATTAATAAAAATATATATTATAATGTTGTCTCCACATTCTCCTATATTTTAGCGGTCTATGAGTTTCTAGTATTCAGTCATTCATTAAACCATGTAAACGCATAGAGAATAACGGCTCTTGCTTTTGCACTCCCTTATTTCGGACACTGTGAGAATCAGCTTCTCTCCCATGGTGCACGACAACACTTAAAATACTGTGCGACTGCCACAAGGGGGCGTATTCCGACTGTTGTGTCCAAATGTCGTGTGCAGTGGAAAGGCGGCTTTACTATCCTAAATATATAATTAAAAATATTTAGTCAAGGACAGACCTAGAGTAAATTATCATAAAATTTTCATTTGTGGGTGAACTATCCCTTTAATACTGTATTTCTCAGATGTATACCATGAGTACAGTTGTTTTAGTGTATATTGTATGCTTGTGCTGCAAAAATACACTCAGCAGTGCCCAATTGACTCACAAAAATCAATGTTATTGGCGTTTTTGTTTTCAGTACCAGCGGCGCTACAGGGCAGTGAACAAACATGATCTAAGTGGGGTTCGCCAATATGAAGATCATCATGACGTTATCAGGAGTTCAAATATTCCCGCTTGACGTTGTGTTTTTGCCCACAGGCGCAGTGACTTCCTGGGCTGTATGAGTTTTGGTGTCCACTCCCTCATCACTTCATCTAAGGTAAATATCCTGTTGTTTACATTTACCCTGCAGTGCTGTGGAAGGCATTTGGATATGGCAGTGTTCATGCTTTGAATGAGAGCAAGTTACAAATGACATTTGCAGTGGTTCTTTCTTTTATTTATATATATTTCGGTGGGCAGGCGACACAGTAGTGCAGTAGGTAGTGCTGTTGCCTCACAGCAAGAAGGTCGCTGGTTCGAGTCCCGACTGAGCCAGTTGGCATTCGCGTGTAGTTTGCATGTTCTCCCTGCGTTCGTGTGGGTTTCCTCTGGGTGCTCCAGTTTCCCCCACAGTCCAAAGACATGCGGTACAGGTGAATTGGGTAGGCTAAATTGTCCGTAATGTACGAGTGTGAGGGAGTGTGTATGGATGTTTCCCAGAGATGGGTTGTGGCTAGAAGGGCATCCGCTGCGTAAAAACTTGCTGGATAAGTTGGCGGTTCATTCCGCTGTGGCGACCCCAGATTAATAAAAGGACTAAGCCGACAAGAAAATGAATGAATAAATATAGATGGGCAATATTTGAGTTTTGAGTTGAAAATATAAGAAAAATATTCTGGATATCTCCGTGTTTTCTGTTCCCCTTGATGATATGTGTGAATTATAGGTGGAACTAATGTTAAAATAATGTATAAAAGTTTCACTCCCTGAATGCAATACTAAATTTTTTTAAAAACTGGGTCTTATAGGGGGACATTATAATACATATCCTTCACTTACTCCACACTTTACAATATTTGTACAATATGCAGTGATTCTCATTATCTGTTGAGTTCTCCAACATAGTCGTGTCAGTCCTCATGTCTCATTACTTTCATTGCAGGATCTAGACTACACTGTATATATGCACTGTATATGAAAACAAAATAAGAGATCACTTTAATTTTCTCAATTTCTCTGAATTTATTGGATCTATTAGGTGTGGATTTAAGTAAAATATTATGATTTATTTTATTCTTTAATGTCTGTTAACATTTCTTATTGTGATTTAGCCAGTTTTTTCCCTTAGAAAATGACAGTTGGTTAAAATAACTAACGTTTTAATTTGTTGTGATTGAGTTTAACCAAAAGCTAGTTAGTTAGTTAATTAACCAAATATATTATTTAATAAATAAAAAAAGGTAACACTTTACTTGAATGGGTGTTCATAAGACTGTCATGAAACCTTTATAATCATAACATCACATAAATGTGAAGGAGATTTCATGCATGCCTTTGACAACTGTTATTAGGGGTCATTTGCTCAGTTATGTCATTTTAAATGCAGAGATGACATTCTTTGTTACGACAACTTGGCATAAGCAAATACATCATGACCAGTCTTCATCTTTGTCATGACTACTTAACATAACTTGTCATAAATCTGTCATAAACATGACTGTCATGATGCCTTTGCAATTGTGTCATGAACTCATTAAAATGATAAATTAAGCTTGTACTGTTGTAGTGGAGGTAAAAAAAATATTAATGACACTGTTATAAAATGTATGGCATATTTTTAATGGGTTTATGACAGTCTTGTTTATGACAGATTTATGACAAGTTTTGTTGTCTTTATATTGTCAAGTTTGCATAACAAACAATGCCATCTTTGCATTAAAAATGACATAAAAAGTACAATTGTCAACTGTCTCTTTCTTTTGTCTGCTCAGACAGGCTGATGGTGGCCGATGATAAACAATAATTAGCAATATATCAGAAGGAGGATTAAATGCATTCGATTTCGAAAATATTAACAATGTCTTTAAAATTAATTGGATCAAGAATTGTCTTTATAACAATAATTCCTTATGGTTCTCTATCCCTAATTTTATCTTTGAAAAATGTGGTGGGCTCCACCTTTACTAACTTGTGATTTTAAATGTTCTAAAATTCCTGTTAAAATGTCCAATTTTGATAAACAAGCCTTCAATACATGGAAACTGATTTATAAGCATAACTTTTTCCTCCCAATCAAGTCTTATCTGGAAAAATCAGTACATTTTATTCAAGTCCATATTTTGGAATGAATATGTTAAAAAAGGATTTATTTTTTACAGACTTATTAAATCGTGTAGAAGACTTATATAATTACAATGAATTTACTAACACTTTTGGTTTAAAAATTACTTTGAATGAATATAAAAAATGTGTTCATTGTATTTCCCCACAATTACTTCACCTTATTAAAACCACAAAAATTTATAACCATGTATCTGGCTCTCTTCTAAAGCTTACTTTTAAGGGCCTTTCTATCATGAATAAAAAATTTAATAACAATTATATCAGGCAAATCCTAACTGCAGGTTAAATTGTTCCTCCAATAGCAATGGTTAAATGGAAACAAGCATTCCCTGCATTCTTTTCCCCCCAAAAATCTGGTCAGATATTTCAAAATACATAATTTCTAATAAAGTAAAAGAAACAAATTTTAAAATATTACATAGATATTATCCATGCAATTATTTTATTAGTAAGTTTTAGGAAGGTTTTTCACCCTTGTGTTGTTTTTTTAAAATGGAACCGGAAACAATTCTTCATTTATTTTACAGTTGCAGTTACACAAAACGGTTTTGGTCCCAAGTTTCCTTACTACTTTTTGAAGTGTTTTATAAATTTATCAACAAAACTGATAAAATGGTTTTATTTATGGATTGCAACTCTGGATTATTGGAAATGGACAAAATAACAAAAATTATTATTTTATTTGGAAAGTATCACATCCATAAAACAAAATGTATGCTGACTGTACCAAATTGTAAACTATTCTTTATTGATCTAAACTTTTTTATGATTCCCTCACTTCTATACAGAGTAATACCAAAGCTATTAAGGCATCCCAACTGCTGGAAAAAATACTTAATGTACATGAATAATTTTTGTGGTTTAATTCCCTTGTATACAGTTTTATGTATAATTCTGTACTCCTCTGTTTAATCAATAAAAAAAAAAAAGTTGGTGATCGATGGACTGAATGTTTAAATTTATAAATAATTAAAATAGACACTACCCTTATAAATAAACTGCATTGTTGCAATCTAAACAACTACATTCTCGCCTGAAAAGCCTCAAAAGTTACAAAGTACATTATGTTGTCCAACAGCTGCATTATTTGTCAAATTGTTGTGAGTTAATTGATCTGCTTTCACTATGTGGGCAGAGTAATACACAAGGGTCAAGAGACTGAGTGCTGTTATTGCAGAATATCGCACTGCTATCAGCCAATCAGATTTGATTGATAAATTTTCTGTTGCTTTAAAATTAAATCTAAATATCTCTGAAAACATGTCACGTTTTAGTTGTTTTATTCCAAAAAAACCTAAACAAAAACAAGCTTTTAATGACAATATTATTTTTTATAAAATTACATTTCACTCAAATGCAAAACTATAAATGCAGAGAATCAGAAAAATTCCAAGTGGTTTGTCACACAGGAATGCTGCCATCATTTCATTCATTCATTCATTTTCTTGTCGGCTTAGTCCCTTTATTAATCTGGGGTCGCCACAGCGGAATGAACCGCCAACTTATCCAGCAAGTTTTTCACAGCGGATGCCCTTCCAGCCGCAACCCATCTCTGGGAAAGAATGCTACCATCTTATAACATAAATGTCTTTATTTTCATTTTTGATGAAAGTATTGCATCTTAGTTTATATTTAAGAGCTGGATTGACTGACAGATACATGCTTTATGCAGTGTCATGCTTCTGGGAATGATACAGAAACACCACACCGCACTTCACCTTTATGTACACGTACTGTAGTGCATTTCTGTTCAGCAATTATTTATGTAACATCAACACTATTGTAACTGACTGAAATAGAAAGCACGAAAGCTATGAATCTGCCACCACACAACATCCATTATTTAACCCCAAATGTCCTTTCATCATAACAGTGCTCTGTTTTGACTTACTTAAGGAAAGATAACATTTCATAATCGCTTAATCTAAAGATGTGTTCCTCTCGATTTCACTTTCCCCCTGTCAAAGCATTTCCTCCACACCGTTGTCTAATTACGCAGTGGGGGAAGTGGCGACGAACTGCTCATCGAGGCTTGAAAAATGACCTACAATTACCAAGAGGATCTCGCCGCAAACACACACACTGGCATAGTGGCTTGATTCTGCATGCTCTTCTGCACGGACAAATGAGAAAGTCCCCGTCTGAGATCCCTGTTCTTTTATATCATGTCCCGTTGTTGAACTCAAGATTGTTATACTCATGCGTTAAGACAGTTAAGGCTTTCTCGGAGGGTGATGTTTTAGGAAAAATGAGATCAAGCTTGATGGATGTTTTATATAACATGATGCCATCTGGCTGAGTCAGAGAGTCAAACTGGCATCAGCTGTTTACAGTGGCAAAGGTCTGAAAAACACACACAACGCAGAGTATAACTAACAAATACAACTAATACAACATGTAGTAGTATACTACAAACACTAATACAACTTGTGTATTAGCGTTTTCAAATTTGGATCTGGGGACCCACACTGGGCCACAAGGTAGCGTTAGAGGGGTGTGTTTGGAATAAAAGCATACAAAATTTAAAAATAAGTCATTAATAAATGTTTTAAAAAAAGATAAAATAATCAACAATTTTATTCAAACAAACTTAAGTATAAAATAAAAAAATTGTGCTCGTACCACTGTAGTTGACATCAAAAAAAGATTAACGACACTTATAAAATTCATGACATATTTATAATGGCTTCATGTTTATGACAGATTTATGACAAGAAAGCTAATAATAAGATAAAATAAGTTTATTTGAATAAAATTGTTGATTGTTTTTATCTTTATCTTTGTCAGGCAGTGAGAAGTGACAATCTTATTATTATCTTTATTCTTGTCATAAATCTGTCATAAACATGAAGCCATTATAAATATGTCATTAATTTTCTTACAGTGTTGGTAATCTTTTTTGATGTCAACTACAGTGGTGCAAGCACATCATTTTTTTTTATTCATAAGTTTATTTGAATAAAATTGTTGATTAAGTATAAAATATTATGTGATTAGAAATGATCTTATCGTCAAATAATGCTAAAATATTTACTAAAATAAATACAGTTTGGAGGAAGGAAGGAAACTAAATCATTGGCAATTTCTTTTTACGTTATTCTTTTCAGTACAATTTAGATCTTTATGACACTGAACGTCTAGACTCATCATCATAAAAATATGGCACACTTCTAGCTGGAATGGCTAGATAAATGAACCAATTTCCTACTTCATCACTAAGAAAATCCTCTTCAATCACCAAAGTCTTAAAAAAAAAGTCTTTTTCTGGTTTATTTATCTTCAACTTCTTAGTTGCACGTTTAAATTTTCTCTCTGTAAAAGAAAAAAAAACTAATGTTTGTAATGTTTTATACATCATGATTTGTCTTTCATACCATTTTCATACCAAGTCTCATATCACATTTGAATTCTTTGAAAAATCTTTCCCAAGTGATGTTTAATGGAGAGAAGATAGTTGCAACATAGGTTTATTTTGAAAATGTAGCCCTACTTTTATTTTTGGAGATTCCAAATTATGTAGCCAAAGGTCTTAAAAATAAATGCTATGGGGCGGCATGATGTCGTTTCTTTTCACGCTTACCAGATGACCGCTTGCCTCAGTATGGACAGCTTTTCCGCTGTTACCAGTTTGTCCAGTGTCTCGCAATGTATGTTGGTGGATGTAGAGCAGACTTGCACGTAATGACTAAATTTAAGACCAGTGAAGAACAGTTCCAGAAAGCGGGTAAGACAAAAACAAAAAATAAAATAAACTAATAAATAACAGGGTGAGAACGTGGTAAAATCTGAAAATATGGTAAAAATCAGTCGTCCGCGAGGGCTTTTCTTTTTCTGGATTGCTTTTTAAAACACTATCGATTGAGTTTAGGGAAGGAGGAGGGTGGGTCGGTCAGTCAGTCAGTCAGGCAACAGCGGCCTCTGGTGGATTTACGCAAGATCAGCAGGCACGAATGGCAGTCGCAAGAGAAATTTGATATCTCAAAAGTGTACACAGCGCAAACGAAAACTGCAAAAAACATACCTCCTAGGACATATTTGGCGCTCTCCAGAAATGTATATAAGGGTACATATTAGGAATGAGCCTGGGTTTTTTCAACACATTATTGAACATAATAGGTTTGATAAGTCATTTCTAATAACTAATTTATTGTGTCTTTGCCATGGTGACAATCGAAAAACAATATTACTAATAATGCTAATAATATTGACCTTAAAATTGATCATTAAATCATTTTATACCAGCCAAACAAAAAAAAAACTTTTCTAAAAAGAACAAAATATTAATGAAAATTCACGTGCTCTTGTAAACATCACTTAGGAGTTTTTTTTGTGGGGGGGGGAAAGGCAAATAATTATGATTGAAACTGTATATCTGAGATAAAACTGAAAAAAAAAATAGGTCCTTATTAAAAAATGTATGTCGACGTCTTATGGAAAAGCCCTGCGTTAATAATTCAACAGATTTATATCAGGTTCGTGAACGTTTGCAAAAAGGAAAGAGCATCTTCTTCCCATGGCTGTCTACGTCTAATTGTATTTTTCACATTTTGTGCTGACAGGAGATCAGAGGTTGGTATTATCTCCTGGGTGAGGAGCTGGGCAGGAGCAAACATCTGAAAGTGGCCTCACGTCGCATCAGGCAGACCGCCGGTGAGATTCTCTCTCTTTTTTCTCCGTCTTTTGGCTGTGGGATCTCTCTGATAGCCTTTAGCGGTGAAGGAGGACAAATTCCTCGTGACAGTTTTTCCTCAGCAACAGAAGAGCAGATGAAAACAGATCTGCTTGACATTGCTACAACCAAAGCATGCTCTTTGAGGCAAACATTGCTTTTGCATCCCAATTAAATTTGCATGCTTTACTTGTCGCCAAAAGTTCTGTGAAATTAACAAAGGGGTATCAAGGGCGGGATTTGTATTTATCGTTTTATTGGGATTTGAAATGTTGTGTCGTTTATTTAAAAGTAGAGATTCTGGTACATTGTGCTTCATAAACATTCACTAGTAAATGCAAATATGTGTGGAATTGAAATATACTGTAGAATATTTTTGCATCCTGTGGTTCATTTATGAATTGTAATGATTATTTAGAATTTAGAATTCTAAGCACAGACAGTAACTAAACAAGCTCTTTGCAGTCATCAATACAATGGAGCTTGCGTATCTTACTTTTCACCAAATGCTATATTAAAAGAACAAGCATTTGTCTTGCATACAAAATGTTGTTATAATGGGGAATTTCATCAGAATTTTCTCTGATGGGTAGTTTGTATTAAATAAGATTCAAAATATTGTTGATTCCCACATGTATTGCTTTTAAAAGTGAGGAGTTTTAATATGGAATCTTTTTATAGTGTCACTGTAGAAACCTACAAATCAGTTAAAAGATTTTTAAAAATATTTGTTAATATTATGAGTTCTATCTTATAATAAAAAATAGTTTTCACATTATTGTGACTTTTACGTCAAGTTGTAGTTTTTTTAAATTTTATTAATTTTACTTCAAAAAATATTTTCTTTCTTAGAAGTTTGGCTTGTTTCTATTTCAAAAAATCTAGAAAGAAATTAAATTAGTGCTGTCACCTCACAGCAAGAAGGTCGCTGGGTCGTTGGTTCGAGCCTCGGCTCAGTTGGCGTTTCTGTATTTTTTTTGGTATAAAATACAATTAAAAATTATTGTTGATCATGAAATTTCGTGCTTTAAAAGTGAGGACTTTTGATATGGAATCTTTCCAATTTCCTTTATTTTATTTTTAGGAATTATTAGGACTGTTTAGTGTCACTGTACAAACCCATATATCAGTTTATACATTTTGTTATAGTATTTGTTAATATTATGAGTTTTATTTAATATAATTTACATAATTGTGATTTTTTACGCCAAGTTGTAGTTAATTTGTAAATTAATTTGACTTAATTTTTTTGAAGTTTTGTCTTGTTTCTAATCCAAATATCTAGAGTGGAAATGGAGCTTGCATGTTTTACTTTTCACAAAATGCTATATTAAAATAACAAGCATTGCCTGTACTTTTAAAAATGGGCATAGAGGATAGGATTCTAATATTTAAAATGTTCTTTGAATGGTGAATTTCATCAGAATTTTTTCTGATATGTAGTTTGTAATAAATAAGATTCAAAATATTGTTGATTCTGCTATAAATAATGCTTTAAAAGTGATAACTTATGAAATCTTTCCAATTTTCTTTAATTTATTTTTGGAATTATTAGGACTAGGGCTGCACTATATATTGTTTCAGCATCGATATCACATTCACAATAGTCACATCACAATATCTGCAATGTTGAGTTGGGACTATAGTTAGTCAGCAACAAAGACTGCACAGTGGTATTTTACATTACATTTGATTATTCAATTACTGTACCTGAATATCTGACTGTTTCACTCTTTGGATAACCATTAAGCACTGCTTATTACACTTTATCTTTGCTCTATATTATTTATTTATGCTTGCAATTTGTTTGGTTTTCTTCGCTGCAAGATTATTCCAATCAATCTAAATAAATGATTCTGTCCAAAAGGAGCTATTCAAGTCATCTGCTGATATTCATATCACAATATTTATCGCTGTGTCATTTTTCCAATATCGTTCAGCCATAATTAGGACTGTTTAAAGTCACTGTACACAAAATTATATATCAGTTTATAGTTTTTTTTTTGTATTTGTTAATATTATGAGTTCTATTTAATACAAATTGTATTATTATGACTTTTACGTCAAGATGTAGTTTTTTTATTATTAATTTTACTTTATAAAAAGGATTTTCTTTCTTAGAAGTTTTGCCCTGTTTCTAATCCAAATATCTAGAAAGAAATTTAACCAAGCAGCGTTTTTAAGTTAAAAGAAATATTGCTTTGTCTTTAGAAATAATAAATTAAAATTAAGTGATTTTTTTTTAAACAAGCATAGTAATCTGAGAATGGCATAAGCAAAATAATTTTCAGTTTGAAATAAGATTTTTTTGTATTGATTTCAATTTAAAATATTGTTAATTCTAAAATGTTGTGCTTTAACAGTGAAATCTTTCCAATTTCTTTTATTTTATTGTTTAGTGTCCCAGTAACAACCTGTATATCAGTTTATAGTTGTTTTTCAATTCATTAATATTATGTGTTATATTTAATTTATTTTCAGTTTTCAAATTATTGCGACTTTTACGCCATTTGAATTTTTTAAAAATTATTTTACTCTGCAAAAAATGCTTTTCTTTGAGCTTTTGTTCTTGTTTTATTAATATCTAAAAAAAAATTTAATCAAGAAGCATTTTTAAGTAAAAAACAACCCAGGCTCATTGTGGATATGTACCCAGGTCTACATTTCTAGGGACAGTGAAATGCATAACTGGAGGTACGTCTGTTTGCAGTTTTTGTAAATTCACCAGAGGCTGATGTGTATGCTTTTTGATGATCTCAAATTCCTCTTGTGCGTCCTCTTCTCGTGTCCACCAGAGGGTGCAATATACACTTCAGTCAACCAGGCAAGCTTGCTTTGGAATGAATGACTCTGACTGACCGACTGAACCACCCACCCACCCCCGTCCTTAAAGCATACCGATAGTGTTTTCAAAAGCAATCTAGAAAAAGAAAAGCTGTCACGGCCATGTGATTTACCACATTTTCAGCCTTTTTTTTTTCTTCATTTATTTTTTTGATGTTGTTTTACCCGGTTTCTAGAACGGTTCTTTGCCAGACACGAACACTGTCATCACGGCGAACCCCGCTCTGCATTCCATAGACATACCTCTGGTTACATAATTAGTGCTCTCCAGAAATGTAGAGAGGGGTACATATCTACAATGAGCCTGTTACATGAAGAAACTGTTTTGTTTTCATGAATACTAAATTAAATTTAAGTGATTTTTTTTTTCTTAAAACAAGCGTAATAATCTGCCAACATTGTAAGCAAAATAATTTTGAGTGTTTTACTTACCTCAATTGTAAATGATTTATCTTGTTTTAAGGAAGAACTCACTTAATTATGACTTATTTTTGCTTTAAGAATATTCTTGCTTTTTAGATATTCGGACTAGAAAGAAGACAAAAACTCAAAGTAGGAAAAGCAGTTTTTATTGGCAGTTCTTGCTTGTTATTTTATTTTACTCACCAGAAATTGTCAAGGAGAATTTTTAAGTATTAAAACAACAGAATTCTTAATACGAAACCAAAGATACTTAATAACTTAAAGAGCCCATATTATACATGAAATAAGGTCATATCTTGGTTGTAAGGGTCTCCAACAACAGTCTAATATGCATGCAAGGTCAAAAAACACTTTCATGGTCTTATAATCTGCATTTATTTTTATCTAATTATCCCAGCGACTCCCGTATGAATCGTCCAGTGATTCATTTGTTCCCAAACCCCTCCTTAGCGCGAAGCTAATCTGCGCTGATTGGGCCGATGACAGTCTGTCGCGATTGGTCGACTGCCTTCAGTCAGAGAGGGAAATGGCCAATAGCTAATCAGCAATTTAAAAAGTAATCACAGTTCATACACGCTCGATAGTGTAGGCGTGGACTTTAGCTGCCACACTATGGCGAGTGGATAGTGCCACGGATAACCGAACGAAGGAGACAGTCGTGTACTCGCCATACCACACACACACAAAAACACACACACACCTCCGGATGACAACGCTCCCGCTTCAGCCCGCACCCGCCAGGTTTTAGCCTGAGAACCCGCTCCGTTTTCTGCCCGCCGCGCCCGGTCCCGCTAGAGCGGAGAACACAACCAAATATCACCCAGTATACAGTCCAGACAGCCAAGCTGTCTGTTTAAAAACACACACACAGCACAAAGTACACAAAGCTCGTTCGTTCGTTCGCTCTCTCTCCCTCTCTCTCCCCGCGCCAGATTTCTGCGGCGCGGGAATACATTTCCGAATAAATCGCGGGAGCAGAACTCTAGCACGGAGCTCCATAAACAAACAGCACGCGTCGCGTTTTTAACGTGACTTTGCACGCGATAAGATAATATATCCAGTTAACCTGATACAGTACACGCGGTTACAAGTAACAAATCACAACTAAATACATTTGCAAGCTAGAGTAAACGAGGCAACAACTTTAACCGCACGTACTTACACTTGAGAAATGTAGGAAGAAACCCATCCTGACGTCCATCAGTTACTCTTTACTGATCCTTCCTTTAACAAACTCAGATGAAGTATTCTTTGTAGCATGTAGCTTCCAGAAGTTTCCAACTGCTTGGTTATAATGCTGATGTTTCATCTTTGGGTAGAGACTCAATATATCCATCTGCAGTGTGACTTCAATCGACCGGCATGTTTGTGTGCGTGTGTTTGTGGGTGTGCGTGTGTTTGTGGGTGTGTGTGTGTGTGTGTCTGGGTTACTGCGTCAGAGGGCGGGGCCTCAGGTTTGAAATCTCCCGGGTTTGCGCGTGCACGTGAAAAACTTTGTTTCGTTCGTACGTCATGGCGAAACACCTAATGAGTCGGTATCAAGGCGACTCGTTTGAAGCACTATGATTCGACTCTTTTATAGATGAATCAACAGTTTTAAACACTGTATTCTTACAGATTTAAGCCTTAGCTGGATACTTCACTTCACTTAGAGCTGTGTTACACACTACATGGAGGGGAATTTTCAAAAACCCATAATATGGGCTCTTTAAGATACTTTTCTACCCCGGCCTTTTTGACTCTAAATGAAACTTGTATGTTTTACTTCTCACCGAATGCGGCGTTAAATTAACAAGCATTGGCTGTACTTTTTTAGGAGGGATATAGAGGGCTCGGTGTTGAAAAGTACAGGATCCCCGCAGAGAGCTCTAACAAAGAGCAGGGGGCCAAGGGGGGGTGACACACTGAGCGCTATGATGAGCCGCAGGAATAAGATGAGAATTAAAAGGCTAAAGCATCACGGTGTGTCCAAGTCAGTTTAAATCCACTTTAGAAATTCTCCCACCATCGTCCCCTCTTGACTTTTTTTGTTGTTGAGATTTTATTATTAATTAAACATGGAAAATTGAATGCACAGTATTGAAGTCAAATTGTAAATTGTAATTCTATAAAGGATTTCCTGTTGTTTAATGCAGAGAAGATTTTTTAAAAACATTATTAAACATAATAGTTTTAATACGGAATTTCTATAGTAATACTAAGATACTAGTATTCAGCTTAAAGTGCAATTTAAAGACTTAACTAAGTTATTGTGTTAGCTAGGGTCATTAGGAAAGTTAACAGTGCTTTGTTCGCGATATGAATACAGTTTTACAAGATAGTTTGATTAGCAATTTTTATCAGTTTTCTGGGGAGTCTAACAGTATTCAGTTACAGAAATTGAATAACCACAATGCAAAAAAAAAACGTTGCCTCGTTTCCAGTCCAAATATCTAAAAGATCAAGTAAAAATATTGTTTTGTTTTCAACTTCAGAAGAAATAGGTTAAAATTAAGGCCCCATTTACACTAATGCGTTTTAGTTTGAAAGCGCATAAGTTTTGCTACGGTTACGCCATCCATCCACACTACGCCAGAGTTTTCGAGTGTAAAACGGAGCGTTTTGGAAATGCTGAAGAGGCCGTTTTCATTCTAAAACGCTGCTGCTCCGTCTCAGTGTGAAAACGGAAACGGTAAACGTTGGCGGACAGCCATTTTAGGTCCCTTCAGAAATGCTCAATTGCGTTTAGTTCAGGGCACTGGCTGGGCCATTCACGAACAGTCATGATGTTGTAAAGCCACTCCTTCGTTATTTTAGCTGTGTGCTTAGGGTCATTGTCCTGTTAGAAGTTAAACCTTCGGCCCAGAGAAGGTTTTCGTTACACTATATCTCTGTATTTGGCCGCACTCATCTTTCCCTCAATTGCAACCAGTCATCTTGTCCCTGCAGCTGAAAAACACCCCCACAGCATGTTGCTGCCACCACCATGCTTCACTGTTGGGACTGTATTGTACATGTAATGAGCAGTGCCTGGTTTTCTTGCCTGGAATTTTATTTCTTACCATCTTGGAGTCCTTCTACTGTAAATGTTTTATGTTCAGCTCACTTTAATTTTCAAGAACAACTAAGTTAACTATTGCGAATGTGCACATTTCGTTATCAATACTAAAACGATATATTGCGGATAGGGATGCACGGTTTACCAGTATTATGGCAGTATCATGATACTATTGCTCCAAAATACTGGCGGTGCCACTGTAGTCCGTAAACAGTAGTATCGTCATTAATGGTAAATCTACAAAAGATAATGTTGCATGTGGAAAAGTAATGAAAAACAATAAACCATTTGATTTGAATATTCTGGTGAGCCTATTGCACATTTTAGATCGATTCAGTTTGAACGCACATCTAAATCAGTTCATTTCTGTTCCTGTTAATATAATTTAGTAGAAACCATGACAATCTTTTCAAAAGAATGACTCGCAAAGTGAAATTTTGAATAACTTTGTATTGTTACCTGAGAAGACTGAAAAAAAAAATAAATGAAAAGCCCAAAATAGCAACAGGAAACACTAAAACTATTTTTGACCTCTATATATAGCCTAATTTTGTTAGAGAAATGCTCTTTTGTAATAAATTTCAATCAATATAATTTGTATCTTTTTTTATTGTATTTTTGTTCATCAGTTATCTACTAAATAAACAAAAAGAAGGAATAAGTTTTAGGTGAAGTGGGGTGCAAATAGTTGGCCTTAAGGGAATTATAAATTACATTCAAGTAGGCCTATTATAACATTAAAAATAGTATTTCTGACAATTTTCTTTATAATTTGAGTTATGAATTACAGTATCGCGATACTACTTGGTATTGTGATGCTTCACCTGGTTTAATATCGTAAGATTAATTAATGTTATTGCGACAACCCTAATTGTGGAGCCCTACTTTGTTCTGTAAAAAAAATGTAAACAAAAAACAAAAAATGTAAATGTTGAGCTTAAAATTTATTTTCAAAAAATCTAAACTTTTATTCTCTCCAGCCAAACTAAAAATATAAGACTTTCCCCAGAAGAAAAAAATATATATAAAATGAAACTATTTATGTGATTATCCTTTCTCTGTTAAACATCACTTGCTAAATATAAAAAAAAATGCACAACAATTTTGACTTCGCAAAAGCTCTTAATCATTAAACGCCAAAAAAAGAGATTTCAATTGCTGGGGTGTGGATGAAATGACACGTGCACCGTCAGAGAAATTCAGATTAAGTTTGATTAGAGAGAAAGAGAGAGAGAGCTGTAGGAGGAGAGAGAGAGAGAGAGAGAGAGAGAGAGAGAGAAAAAAAAGAAGGGGCTTGAGTCAAAGCACCGGGCTGACTTTAATGGAGGGAGCCAGCTGTATTGTGTCCCTCTTGAATGCCGTTTTCATGAAGAATGTTTAAAAAGACATTGCTTCCTGGGAGCGTAATCTCTATGGCTACAAAGTGGGGGAGTCTGTCGCTGGTTGTCGGGGTGGGGGTGACGCTTTTAGGGGAGTCGATTTCTTTCTCTCGCTCTCTCTTTCTGTTCTGATGGGGCAGTGAATCAGGTTGAGTTCATCACACTCCCGTTCAGCTGTTCCAAGCCTGCAGACTCAGCCGACTGGGTTTCCACGTTGGGTGAAGATGTACTCAAAGAGCGGTCTGTCAGGTTGGGACTCGTGGGACTCTCTTGTGTATCTTTCAGAAGCTGCTGCACCCAACTATGAAGCTGGACCCGAGAGCAGCGGTCCTGAGAACATGCAGTCATTTACAGTAAGTACAGATTTGTTTTGGTTTTTAATGCAATTGCATTGTTTTGTTTATGCAAATTAAATGCAAGTTTGTTAGGATTGTGCAGTCCTTTACTGTAAGTGCAGTTTTGTTTTGGTTTTTAATGCAGTTTTCATTGTTTTGTTAATGCAAATTAAATGCAATTTTTTTGAAAACATGCAGTCATTTACTGTAAGTGCAGTTTTGTTTAAGGTTTCTAATGCAACTTCATTTGTTAATGCTCATTCAATGCAAGTTTTCTAAGATCAAGCAGTCATTTACAGTAAATGCAGTTTGCTTGATTTTTAATGCAATTTAATTGTTTTGTTAATGCAAATAAAATGCAAGTTTTTTAAGAACATGCAGTCATTTACTGTAAGTAAATTTTTTTTGGTTTAATATTTATAATTATATTTTTATATTAATAATTTAATATTTACATCTAAAATCATTACTTTGTTATCTTGTTGATTTTTTTTTCTTCAATATTTTGGCAGGTAATGCTTTGTAAATATTCTGTAGTAAACTATAAAGGTTTTTATGGAGTGTTATTTATGGAATATGCATTTTTTTCTGTATTTTGTTTTAGAATTATTAGGATTATTTGGATTATTTTAGTAGTTTGTGAGTTTAGATCTACACAGGCCTTTGGAATTTGTTGAAAACATGTTGTCATTTACTGTAAGTGCAGTTTGCTTGATTTTAATGCAATTTAATTGTTTTATTAATGCAAATTAAATGCAAGTTTGTTAAAAACATACAGTCATTTACTGCAAGTGTGGTTTGCTTGATTTTAATGCAATTTAATTGTTTTATTAATGCAAATTAAATGCAAGTTTGTTAAAAACATACAGTCATTTACTGCAAGTGCGGTTTGCTTGATTTCAATGCAATTTAATTGTTTTATTAATGCAAATTAAATGCAAGTTTGTTAAGATCATACAGTCATTTACTGTAAGTGCAGTTTGCTTGATTTTAAAGCAATTTAACTGTTTTATTAATGCAAATTCAAATCAAGTTTGTTGAGAACATGCAGTCATTTACTGTAACCGCAGATTTGTTTTGGTTTTTAATGCAATTTTTATTAATGCAAATTAATTGCAAGTTTGTTAAGGACATGTGGTTAATTACAGTAAGTGCAGCTTTGTTTTGGTTTTTAATGCAGATTCATTGTTTTGTTAATGCTAATTAAATGCAAGTTTGTTATGAACATGCAGTGATTTCCTTTAAGTGCAGTTTTTTTTTTTTTTTTTGCTATTTCTTTTGTAGTTTGTTGTTTTTGTAAGCTTGCATTTTGTCTTCAGATTTGCTTCATGTCATGTTGATGAGTTAATTATTAATGTTTTATTTTATGAATGTACATTAATTTTTAATGAAATGTACATTAGGGGTCAGATCAGATTAGGCAGAACAGTGTCATGTTTGAAAGTGTAGAACGTTATTTAAGATTTACATTTTAAAATATTTTTTTTGTTGTTGATTCTGTTTTAGATTTCGGCAGGTAATGCTTTGTATATATTCTGTAGTAAACTATGAAGGTTTTATGAATTGTTATTTATGGAATATGCAAATAATTATTAGGATTATTTGCATTATTTTAGTAGTTTGTGAGTTTAGATCTACACTGGGAATTTGTTTTAATCACTGTTATTTTATTATAATTTGTTTGTATACAATTATTACTCTAAATTATAATTATATAAAATTATACATTAAATGTTAATAAAATGGCGCAGTAGGTAGTATGATCGCCTAACAGCAAGAAGGTTGCTGGTTTGAGTCCCTGCTGGGTTAGTTGGCATTTCAGCGTGGAGTTTGCAAGTTCTCTCTGTGTTCGTGTGGGTTTCCTTTGGGTGCTCGGGTTTCCCACATAGTCAAAAGACATGTGGTACAGGTGAATTGAATAAGCTAAATTGGCCGTAGTGTATGTGTGTGAATGCAAGAGTGTATGGGAGTTTCCCAGTGTTGCGTCGTGGCTGGAAGGGCATTGGCTGTGTAAAACATATGCTGGATAAGTTGGTGCTTCATTTCGCTGTGGTGACCCCAGATTAATAAAGGGACTAAGCCGAAAAGAAAATGAATGAAAGCATGAATGCATATTAATCAAGTATTATATAAGATAACATATTATTCTTCTTCTTCTTAATAATAATAATCATATTTTTATTTTATTTTTTATTGAATTATTTTGAACAATCTAATTTTTTACTAATATTTTGAAACAATATTTGTTTATTCAAAATTAAGTATTTTTACTCATTTTGCTTTGTGCTTTTGTCATTTTATTATTGTTTTGCCGTTCTGATAGTTTTATTTGCGCTTTAATCTTTTTATACTATTACTGTTCTTTGTAATCGTAATATTTAAAAGGTAACTCATATTTAAATTAGTTCTCAAGGCAATATTTAAGTCTTTTTTTTCCTAACTTGCATTTTATTTTTAGTCATTTTGTTTATTCGTTAGCGTGTTGGTAATCAAACGCTGTGCCTTGTGCTAAGCTAATTGCTGTAACGTCTAGAGATTTTAGTCATGGCAGCCATCAGCTTGGTAATTCAAGTGTACTAATGTGATGGACAGTAGGAATATGAAGAGGTGTGTGGATGTACTTTTGGATATGTGTGACTCTCACAAACACACACACACACATGCTCGTTAAACCCTCCCATCCACTTTAGCCAGCAACTTTTCCCAGGACTGTTCTCCGCCCGCTCTGTTCTCCTCAGACAAAGCTGGGAAACGGGAAAAGCCAACAAAGTGGCTGCAATAGGAAGCCCGATCCCGCACAGTGTTTATGATTTATCCCTGTTTGATTCCCGCTCAGCTGACACTCGTGCTGGTTTTTTTTTTTTAAATGGAGGTCGGTCAAAAACTCTCCTAATCATTCTTCTATTTCCTTCCTCTCTTCCCGAAATTCCATTTTTCACATTTCATGCCTGACTTTTCAAGGATTTCTAATCAGCGATGGCTTGGTTTTAGCTGGAACATCGGTACAGGGTGATGTAAGAGATAAGCAAACTCTGGATTATACTAGGATCTGTGAATTAGTCAAAAGATTGTGTTACATAGTGGCTCAGTGGGTAGCACTGTCACCTCACAGCAAGAAGGTTGCTGGTTCGAGTCCCGGCTGGGTCAGTTGGTATTTCTGTGTGGAGTTTGCATGTTCTCTCCATGTTCGCATGGGTTTCCTCTGGGTCCTTCAGTTTCGCCCACAGTCTAAAGACATGTGCTATAGGTGAATTAATTAAACTAAATTGGCCATAGGGTATGTGCGTGTATGGATGTTACCCAGTACTGGGTTGCAGCTGGAAGAGCATCCGCTGTGTAAAACATATGCTGGATAAATTGGTGGTTCATTCCGCTGTGGCGACCCCTGATAGATAAGGGACTAAACCGAAGAAAAATGAATGAGTATTGAGAGTTGTTTGCTATTGCTTATAAACAGCAATAATTCCATTGCATGGACCATCTGCGTTAATGATTCTCATTTACTTTGAATGGCGTGAGGTCAACTGAATTGCAGGGTTGGGTATTGTTTTGGGTTATTTTGATACCAGTGCTAAATCGATACTTTTAAAACAGTACCGGTGCCAAAACGGTGCCTGAACTGATACTTCCGAGCCACAAAATTATGGGGGATGACTCTAGAAAAATCTTTTATTTGACAAAAAATATTTTAATTGAACAATATAATTAGAGTTTCAAGGTTTACATCAATTCATATTTTATATATTTTAAATTAATTGCAATAAAATATTTCTTTTGATTATTTGTTTGTTAGCATGAATTTAAGATTTGCATTATGCAATTAACATTACATTAGCAAACTACTAACCTATGGAAAGGCTGTCATCAAAATCAGTGAACTCCTTTTTTCTAGGGTTGGGGCGTTTATATCAGTGATCGAATAATTTGCCTTAATGTGAATAATATGATAAAGGGGTTTACATGAGTTGCTTTTTGAATGTTTCTTTATGATTAAGTTTTATGTTATAGCACATACACTGAAAAAAATTATGCAGAGATGATTCCTTGGATTTACTCAATTTTTTTTATGTTAAGTGGTTGTAAACAATTTATTTGTGTTGAATTTAAACAAACAAATTAAGTTAATCATTATTAAACTTAATTTGTTTGTTTAAATTCAACACAAATAATTTGTTTGCAACAGTTCTGCATGCAACACTTTTTTTCAGTGTAGGTTGATTAACATCATTGCATCAGCAGGCTTTTCACGTTTCCTCTAGAGCAGGGGTCTCAAACTCAATTTACCTGGGGGCCGCAGGAGGCAAAGTCTGGGTGAGGCTGGGCCGCATAAGGGATTTCACAAAAAAAAGTCCTCAAATGTCATCATTAACAGTTTTAATTATTTCTTCTGAACATGAAGTGTTCTGAACATTAATAGAACATTGAGTGAAGATTATGAACAGTTCTTCTGAACATGGCATCTTTTGCCTACTCCTTGCTGCCAGAGACTTGACAGCGCTTCTTCTCACAAATCTGAACCACATTTGGCTTTAGAGCGGAAGCAGTTGAGACCCTCAGTATGGCTTGAAGATGATCATCATTAAGTCTAGACCTGTACTTTGACTTATTGAAGTCCTAGGGAAAAAAGTGGGGGAACTCACTCAAAACTTCCATTCCCTCACCTAAAAAAAAGGCGTATATATGTATAAATAAAACACCCCCACCCCACAGTCACATCAGTCTGTACCAGTCTGTATCTACCTATAATATCAAGATGCAGGGCAGGCACGTGCACACATAGGGCTCAACCTGTGCAGAGCACATGCCCTTTTTAGTCTTGCATAGAAAGTGCCCTTCCAAAATGATCAAAAGTGCCCCCGCGACGCGACACACCCTTGGTCCCGCCCTTCAGCAGGCGCGCGATAACACCGCTCTTGAGTACGCGCGCGACAACACAGCTGATCAGAACGCGCGCGACAACGCGCATTGAGTGACAAGCGCGCTGTGTACGGATAGAATCAGCGGAGCGGGGAGCGCTC